TCTGTTTTTATTGCCTGCAAGTGCATAAATGTGATCATAAAATTGAGCTTTATGGCTCAAAGAAGTGATTACAGTAGAAATATTCATAATTGAAAAACTTTCAACTTTTTCTTTCTCTCTTTTCCTTCTACGCCCTATTTAATTCTTTATTCTTTTCCTTTTGTCTTTTCATTTCATGTCCTAAGGATGCGTAAAGTTTTACAAATATTAAAGTCCATGATGAGCTGGAGGAGAAAAAACAAGTTTTTAATTTTATTCACTTTATCTTACTACTTTATATTAAGCTTTTAGCTATGTTTTATGGGAATTGTTGAGTTTTATGACACATTTTGGGAAGTTTTGTTGGTTTTTGAACTTAAAAGAATGAAGCTATATTAATATTTAAAAAATAAAGGTAGCTTGCCCGAGCAGGACATTGAAAGATGTAAAATATTTGTACGAAATAATCAAATCACTAGTTTTAAATCATTTTTGTGTATTCTTGACCAGTTTTGTTTGACAAAATTAAGCCTAGAAATTACAAAAATATTAGCTAAAATGGAGTCAATCAAGAAGTATGTTTGTTTTTAAGAATCAGGTGTATTTGCATTATTGTCTTATCAAAGACAATATCTAGCTATCAACTTTGTTTGGCTTTAAAAATTCGGAACTAATCAACTGACTTATTATCATTTTAGATCATATAAACTTATTTTTGAGCTTAGCCTTAGCTCTTTCCAGAGGTCTAGTCAAAAAAATTTTTTGTGGGGTTTTTTTGAACTTGACTTTTAAACAGGCATCAAAAAAACCTTTGTATGAGAGATTACATTTTTTTTTTGTCAACATATTCATTTTGACCACCTCCTCCCCAGCTTTTACCCCGCAAATTTTTCTAAAGTATAGCTCTAAAAGAAAAACACAACCATACTTATAAACTTTTGATTAAGAATTCTTCCAACATCTTAATGTCCACAATAAAATGCTTTATGGTCATAGACGCATCCGCAATAACGAAAAATTCTTCAAATCTTCCGGATATTCAAATTGTCTCAATATTTTAGTCCTAAGTTATTCTTTCTAGATTTATTTATTATTCTTTTATTTTGAAAGACATCATCTTGTGCGACATAAGTCTCTCACTTAAAATTACAATATTCTTCATGAAAAGAAATCATTTTTATGGTAGGAAAGAGAGAGATCAAGGAGGAGAAGAAGAATGTCAAAGTAATTATGCTTGAAATGTCAAAGTTTCTACAATTATAAAGCGAATTCTGCCATGACCATTTTTAATATAAAAGACCTTTTTATTCTAAGGCATTTTATTTATCTTAACGATTTCTTTTCTGAGATGAATTTTGGGAAATACTAGGACTTTGACATCAGTAACAAACTTTACGATTAAACCCAGAATTGTTTGAGTTGAAGTCAAAAATTTATTGCGATTGATTCATGAAAGGTTATTCAACGAATGTCAAGGCAACTTGAATTATTTTGCTTGGCTTCAAGGTTAATTTTAATTGATTAAGTATTTTTTATTAAGTAAACAACTGTTGCCTCTCAGATATTCATTTATTTTGAAATACTTCAACTTGTTTTCTATTTTCAAACTTTAGTAGCATCAAGAAATATAATAATGTCATGTTTAGAATATCTCATTTATTGTTCATGTGCTGTTGAATCATCAAGATACTAAATGTTCATCAATTAACGACAAAGTAAGATTGAAGTCAAAAACTCCTGGCTGGCAACACTGACACATCTGATAGAGCATCTACTTAAATTTAAAGGTAGAGAAGCTGTTCGATCTTCATTCTGAATCAATATAAATCCACCCAGAAAGCCATCATATTTTTCAATAACATCTGCAAATAATCTACTCATACGAATAAAACACTATCGCCTTAACCGCAGTATTTATCTTCCATTAATGACGCATCAATATACACATTATTTCATAGATGTGTGAAAAATTAAGCCATAAATAACCTGATAAATATGGCACACCTGTTTTTTTCCTCAATTGACAGCCGTAAATAAAAGAATGACACACACAAAAAAGGAACTGAAAAAATCTGCAACAGAAAACTCAGTCATGTTCTGACCTTTACGGACGAAATCTGATAGCAAAAATGATTCGATACCCGCAGGATCCAATTTTCTAAATTGAAATAATTTCCTTAATTTATTTGAGTTTTTTTTTTAAATTAATCCAATTTCATATTTAAATGTCAGTTCCAATAAACGTATTTTATAAAATCAGTGAATCGAAACAATTCAAAAAATATTATTTTTTAATTCATAAATCTTGTTAATGTCATCGTGCGTGCATGCTGGAATAAATCCCAAAAATAAATTGAAATTTTCGTATTTAATTGAATTAGACATTAAATAAATTTGATTTAATTAATTGAAAAGTAAAAATGTATTAATTAGTTTTTATTTCATTGAAATGTGAATATCCGAAGGGAGTTGCTGACTTGATGCTGAAAAATTGAGCGATTAAAATAAATCAGAAGGACAAAAGGAAAAAAGAATGAAACCAAGTCAGTAATTTTCCACCAATTAATTTCTTCTTCCTACCCTCATTGAACTTTCCATTCACAAAAAAGGGAGCACTAATATAATTTTCTGCTATAAACAGGGAACAAGCATTAAAAATTTACTTCAATTAGTAAACGCACTTAGTTGTTATGACCTTTTACCTTACTTATTATTTTTATTTCCTGTATTTTTCTTAAGATCACATTCAACAGAATGAAACATCTGCTGCTAGTGTTGATATTTTTTCTCCTTCTTACTGTATTCTATTAATTTTCATAGTAATAAAGGAAAGTTGGGAAATAAGGGGGGGGGGGGGGGGGGTCAGAAATCTTAAATTCTTTGAGAAAGCGTAGCTTTGTAGATTATTTTAAGAATTTTTCTTTTGCAAGGAATAGTTGGAGAGCAAATTGATGAAATTTTACAGTCCATGTGAGGTGGCTTGACCTCAAAATCTACCCCTAGCTATTTTTTTGCCTATTGATTTAAAAAAATTAGGCGTATGTAACAACAGGAACCGATTCCTCACTTTTTATAGGATTATGGAGCCGAGTGCAGGTCATCTTATAAAAGGTGTCATCATATTTTATCAAAAGGTACTTAAAACTGCTTACAAAAGAGTTTGAATTTTAAAGTAGGCCACAGTTCGTTTAAACTCTTGCTAAGCTATTGAACGTAAGAAGAAAGAGAGATTCGCACAATACTTTGAATTGCGTGTCTAGGCAATGTACTCGTGCGAAAAATTTAAATGTTTACGAAAATTTCTAGGAAAACATTACTCAAAATCAATACGCAAATTGAAACGAAAAATAACAAAATCATATTCAAATGTTGACACAATAATTATCTGCAAGGCCTGACACTAATGATCATTAACTTGTAATACTAATTTTCTAATTATATGGACTTAATTTTTCGCACGTGCTTTGTGGCGTCTAGGAGAGTATTTAATGCGTCAGATAAAACATTAATGTCCTTTAATTTGAAAGGAATTAATATCAGAGATTAGTCACGTCATCCATTTTCTTGATTGCTAGTCAGGTTGCTAGTAAATACTATTTGCAAATTACTTTCTTAATAGAGGCGTAGCCAGACATTAATGCTCCAAATGTCACCCCAACAAAGAGTTTTGTATACAGTAAAAATATTTATAGCTAGTTTTTATCCAATTTGAATATTTTAATCGATTAAAAATCAGTTCTTGCTGATTAAATTTCGAAGTATCTACTTAAGGGCCGTTCACTTATGATGTACGACATTTAGGGGGGAGGGGGGTCTAAGATTTTGTGACAGTTCAAACAATGGAAATTTTTTTCTATAAAATTTTTGTGACAGAAGGGTCTAAAAATCAGGTTTTTTGATGGACGTCATAAGTGAACGACCCCTTACCAATGCAGATCATCCAAACAATTACCTCCAAAAATTGATAATAATATGAATTCTCTGTATTATTACAAGTCACAAAATATAAAAATTAAAATGCATAATAATAATCGAAAAAATCGTTTTTGGAATCAATAAAAATCATTATCAAATTTTAATACCAAAAGCGCTTCATTAACCCCATCGTACTCAAACAATTTCCAATATAAATACATACATTTATTTATACACTACGTGTGCAAAATGATTCGTTTTATAGTCGTTTGTTAATTGAAATTCCGACACAATTTATGTATGCATTTATGTATGAAAATTATACATAATGCATATCCTCGACCCGTAAATTAACCACATCAGAAATCACCCGCAAAATGGGACTCTCATTTTTAAATATTTTTCATGATCTTTTGTGTTAAATTATTTGTTTCTGTAGGATTTAATTAATTTGTGGATTGAACAAGGATGTGGTGAATATAAAACAGTTTTGGGGTCACGATTTTCAGATCCCCTTCACCCTTTTTGTCACCAAAATTTCACAGATGCCAGGACCTTCTCCCCCTCCCTTGTGACATCCAATCAAAGTTTTCGTGACATAAAATAATTGAATTCCTTATTGCAAAATTAGATGTAACAAATTTCTTGACTCCCTGTCACAATGTGTTACAAATTCCTAGACCCCTTTCTCCCCTAAATCTCGGACGTCATAAATGAACGATCTTATTTTAGATAAATAAGGAACAGTGTCTTTATTTCAAACAATAGCAGACTTTGTCAATTATTCAAGAACTTTATTGTTGATTATGGTAACAGTACTTAAATTTCATCGCCTTGCATATCTAAAACCCCATATTAAACCTCAAAGTACTCTCGATATTTTTATGATGTAAGACTGGATTTTTAAAGCTAGAACATATAATTTTCAGATAGCAACAATATTAATTAACTCAAAATGGTTCGATTTGAGCATTAATTGCAAAGTACATAATATATTCATTATTCAACGAATCAATCAATAGCCTCATTCTTGTGTTTTCACATTTTACTACAATTCGCGCATTCAAGTAAACTCGACTGGTTTTAAACTCGCTATTGTGTTAAAAATGACAATAAAATTCAACATAATTGTAATCCTGAGCAGCTCATACTTGATTACATTCTCATTGACAGCATCAACGACTCCCAATTACAAAGTTAACTCTGCTATTTTAATTCCTGAGGATGTTGCTAAAAAATGGGAAAATTTGTGCAAGCATTTAACTTTAATGATTGTCGACGGCAATAACTATAGAAACAGACAAATTAACGTGGCTATTTACTTACTGAATATCAATAATTTTGCCTTTAACTATGATGGATTTTATCGGACATTTCAAAAGTATGCAGACTATAGAATTATTGTGAGTGTTCATGATATCACATCAACCAAGATTAAAGAAATACAAACTGATTACATGATTCTGCTTATTCATGAAAATGCAATTGAGTATGAAAAATTCTTTAAGAAATATTTTATCAAGCTCCGACCTGAAAGATCTACAAAAATAATTGCGATTCTAAATACCAGATATTCATTAAATAATTTAAAAATCGTATGGAATGCATTAACAGAAAAGAAATATTTTAATCTGTATCCTATCAGTCACTTGAATTCAGGACACTTTGATGTTTTGCGAACAACATTTGGAATGGCAACACAAAAAGGATTAAAGATAAGTCTTGAGATATCGCATCATAAGAGATTCATGAGCACAAGAGAAATCATTAAAGGAGATGAAATGAAAGCTATAAATGTAGTATTTTTTGATTCATATCCACTAGCTTTCGTAAAAAATGACACAATCATTGGTGCTGATGGGAATCTGATTCTGGAATTCAGCAAAAAGCTTCAAATTCCGTTCAATGTTGTCAACAAAAATACTTCGTATCCAACAGCTACTGTCATCAATAATTACATGCATCACATTGGTGAAATCAGTATTTACACAAAAATTCAATTGCGTTCAGAAAATATCAAAATAGTTTGGTTAAATGAAGTTCATGGTTTGTGTATTTTGATTCCTAGAAATATCCCAATTTCTGTGTATGAAAACTTCAAACTTCCATTAGACACCTTTACAATCATTGCCGCAATCATTTCCACATTATCAGTCATCACATGCTGGAAATTTATAACAAACGAAATGTCAATAAGCTCAATTTTATGTGCTGTTGGTGAAATTATCCTAAATGTTGGTGCATCTGGCATAGAAAGGCTGACATTCCGAGAAAATATTTTGATTTATTGCTTCATATTCAGCTCATTCATTTTGGCTTCCTTTTATGAGTCAATATTCATTTCATTCATGCTTGCTGAGTCTTCAATGCGATCAGCAATGAGTCTTGAAGAATTGAATGGAAGCAATACAAAGTTTTATTCATATTTTGAAGATAATCTTGCTGTCCATAATAACTTTGCTTTAATAAGAAAGGATTTAATTATGAATTATGTAAAGTTTAATGATTTGAATTCACTAACCGTGCCTCAAAATTTGGATGTAAATTTAGTGTACATGATTGCTTGTGATTATGCTGAAGTATTTCTTAGTTCCTCTAGAAATTATCAAGATGGTCGACGGCTTTATGACAAAATTGCTCTTACTCAACCTTACAAGACTTATAACATTAATAGCGGATTTTTTTACATTGATGATTTTTTTGATTTTGTCCAAAGATTTATTGAGTCTGGAATTTATAAATTTTGGAGCCTGAAAAACTTTGATAGCAGTAATTGTTTGGCTGAAAATGCAAATGAGAATTCAAATAAACGCGAAACAATTGAATTTCAAGATTTAGGCTTGCCCATTGTTTTAATGTTGGTGGGTTGTTTGATTGCATTCTTAGTGTTCCTTCTTGAATGTTTGGTTTATTATTTAAGAAGTTGCTGTGCAAATAATGTAAGACATTGCAACATTCAAACTGTCCAAAATGTTATGAAGAGAAGGTCAAAATTGGATAAATGGTGGCACAAATATATTTTCAGGAAGAAAATACAAAATAATTCAAAGTCATTGAACCAGCAATCAGAAATTAGCATAAAGCATGATTCTAAATCTTTTATACCTGTAAATCTTAAAAATGAGATGATTAAATTTCGAGAATCAAAAGGAGGTGGATATTTCAGAATAAACAAGTACCTTAAAAAAGTAACTGGCACTCGTCATAGAATCGTTCTGGTGCAGCCTAGGTAAAAAGAATCTACAAGTCAGTTTACTTAAGACTTAATCTGCTAACCATGTAGGGTTCGGAAAACCACTAACTGATTATCTACAGTTATCAACTTTTAGATTATCTACACAAAATCTACAGTTATCTACAGTTAGTAAACTGTAGATAAATTTTTTGAATGATAAAAACCCGTTAAAAAAATTTGCAAAGTTTTGTAAACAAACAATTTTTGGAGACTTTTTTAATAAATTTATATATAGAATACACTTATTTTACATTAAGAGAGCTCAAATGTCAACATTAGCTATTAAAAATCAACTTTTTGTTTATCGAATATTTATAACGGTTATATGAAATTCAAATATTGTTCATGTGTTTGTAAACAAAAAAAATTTGCGAAAATTTCTTAATTTTCAATAAAATCACCACACAAACGCTTTTAAAATACTAAATGAAACCTAATGTCACTTTATTTGAACTGTTACATGCTGTTGCAGTCCTGATTTTAGCATTTCAACTCTTTTTTCAGTAAATTAATAACGTTTTTTTCCACTTTGAAAAAATTATCTACAGTTACTTATCTACAGTTACAAATTGTAGATAACTGTAGATAAGTGTTACTAACTGTTAATAACTGTAGATTTCCGAACCCTATAACCATGTGGTGCAGTGAAAAAATGTTTATTTAGTAAAGAATTGCTTGAATTTAATTTTCAGAAATAAAAACTTTTTTCTTGTCAATATTTTGTAGCATATCTAATTTTGCAAAAAATAAACTTTTCAAATAGATTCAATGAAGAAATAATTTTTTCCGTTTTTAACAAAATATTTAAACTTCCATTCGTAAATTCCAGTAAAGAATTTCCAAAGGATAACATTCAACAAGGTTTTTCACTCTCTCAAAAGTTATCCCCGACATGTTCTAAAACTTCCAAATCATTTCGTAATTCTCTTTACTTCCAATTTTTTCGAAATTTGTAAAATTTTCCCTCGTTTTTTGTTCTCTTGAAGATTTGTGTGACGAACTTCGAGTGGATAATTTTTATTGTTGTTTTCGACTCTCTCAAAAATCATCCCTATGCTTAAATACTTCCCTAGTTCTCTTTTAATCTTTCGGAAATAACATTATCTCTCTCTTCTGTCTAGCTTCGTTTGTTGTGCATTTGATTGAGTTTTGTCATTCAAACAAATTAAGCATTGCAGATATAATTTAAAGTATTGAATAAAAATTAATCAATTTCTAATAATTTGAAATGAAATTTTGGCTTGATTTTAATTCAGGAATCTGAAAATAATTTTTTTGAATTTTTTAAAATATTTTTTTTTACTCAATTCTAGTTTGTCTTAATACTTGTAATAACAAAGAATCATATAAATTCATTCCTATAATAATAATTGTGCAACACTTTCATTTCTTCGATTTTTTACAAAAATAATTAAACGCCTTATGTTTTGAATTTAAGCTACTTAGTATTTTAGCGCCATCTACATTTTAGAAGAGAAAATATAATTTGATTTCCTATAAAAGCATCTGAACATTGAATGATTGTTATGCTTTTTTTAATATTAGTAGTTGGATTCATCAAGATTCTGAAGTGGTTGTATAGCTTATAGGAATTAGAATTTTCTATTTACATTCTTAGGGTTATTCTTGTTATTATCTGTTATAGTCTTTAGCTTGGAAATACCTATTATGTTTCTCTAGAGGACTACTTGAATAGACCCTAAGTGATGTATTAAGGGTTGCTCTAATGTTCTTATGTTTTGGGATATTCCTCGATGATACCTTTAATAGAAACAGAGCACGCTCCCAATGAGTATGCTTACTGAAATGAATTGACTAATCTTACTCGTAAGAATGTTTAGACAGGACATTTAAGAAAACATGCTCTTTGTGTGTTAGGATACATCAAGGGATGTGCCAAAAGAAAAAAGTAAGTAAATCAAATTGCGTGTATTTTTTAAAGCTTGAATTAAAAATATTAACAACTGATTGACTTTCTCAATCAATTATTAATAGAACTGAGAGAAAAAAAAAATTTCGCGAGAGCAAAATTCAAGCTCATTTATAGTTTTGTTTGTGTTTTTCGCATCTATTGTTCTGTGTTTGAAGGTTTTTAACCTGGAAATTTTAACAGCAGTTTAACTCTGATTTTAATGATTCTTTCAACAACTCAATAAGGAATTGAAGGGACTCACTAAATTGCTTCAAATGTTCAAAAACTGAAGGAATTATTTACAAAATTGTTCAAAATATCAAAGTTTGTAATTTTGGTTGAAGATTCAATACTAAAATACAAAAAAATCTTATGTTATCCTGGATGTCAACTTATTTTGCCAATTAATTCTAATAAAGTGTTAAATTTACAATCATATCTAAACGTTACTTTCACTGAATCCTTCATCTAATTCAAACTAATTCTTAAATTCTTCTCATGCCACAAACATCAGTAAAAATACAGAATTTTGCATCTATTTACTAAAGTCTCCTTTCAAATCTACCGCTCATGACAAAGTTTATTTTTCATCGGAACAACAAAAACAATTGATTCAAGTTTTCAAAATAAATTATTTAAAAATTTCTCTACTTAAAAGTGATATTTCATGAATAAAATATTGTAAAGTTGAATTTAAGAAATTCTTAAATCTGTTAGTAGTATTTAAAATTAGAAATATGTACAAATTGCTGGTTTTCCTACTAAATTTTTTATATTTAACAAATGCCGATGACAAGTAAGTGAAAAATGATAATTTTGAATAATTTATTGAAACTTCAACTAATATTTAATTGAATAGTTGTGCGTTTGTGGGGTTGGTCATGAATCATAAGGATTTATGAAATTCTATTCAGATAGTGATGGAATTTGAAAACTTACAAAAAATCGCGAAGAATATTTCTAAAGAATATTTGAAGTGGTTTCTTTGGTTGATAGAATTTGGAGATCCAGTAAGTACCTGGATTTAAAATATGCTTGTCATTAATGTTTATTTAATGACTAAACCTAGGAAAAATGTATTTTTTTATGGTTAATTTAGTAAATTTCATTATTAGGTGACGTATCAGATTCAATTCCAAATTTTTTTCTTTCGAATTTATCAACTCAAATGTCATTAAAGTTCATTTATTAATTTAAAAACAATTTTTTTCATTTCCATTTAAGACTTAAAAGACAAAATCTTCTCGATGATCCATCATGTCCACAACTAAAGAACCTCTGTAGTAATTTAGGAAGTAATAGTGAAGATCTACTCGTCCTCGAGTGCATTGACACATTTCAAACGTCCGAATTCGATGTGACGGTCGATGCACAGTGTCAACATTCGATATATTCGAGAAAATTAGAATTAATGAATGATAGAAATATTTACGAATTATTAGAGAAAAGTTGTACAAAGGACATTCAATCATTAAATTCAATTTGTAAGCCAGAGGATCATGAATATAGTGGCAAATATTTATCATGTGTGCTGGACAATCGAGATATAATTAAAGACTTAATATGTAAAGGTCAAATAACCCGCATTGAATCAGTTGCATTTAGTGACTATCGACTGATATCAAAATTCCTTCAAAGCTGTTCCAATGATATTGAAAAGAGCGGCTGTGGACGATTAACAAATCGAAATTCTAAATCGACACAAGGCGATACGTTGTCATGTCTTCAAATGAGCATTGCAGATCTATCGAATGAATGTAAAAAGGAAATTTATCATATTTCAGAACTTCAAGCTGACAATATTAAGTTTGATAGACAAATCTATATGTCATGTAATTCAGATGTTAAGAAATTCTGTTCTGACATGAGGGGCTATGACATTTATAAATGTCTTATGAAAAATAAAAATTCCCCACAGATGTCGAAGAAGTGCGAAAATCAGCTAAGCAGGCGTTCGTCATTGATAGCTCAAGATTATCGAATCAGTCGGGGACTTGCGAAGGCGTGTAAGGAGGATATTAAATTGAATCATTGCCGAAAAGGAACGAGCGATGACAAGGATGTAAGACTAGCACAAATCTTGCTGTGTCTTGAGGCAGCACATAAAAATAACACAAAATTATTGCCTGATTGCCTTGCGGAAATTTTCGATCATAGGAAAATGTTGATGGAGGATTACAAGCTATCGCCTGAAATAATCATTGACTGTGCAGACGAATTAAATAGATTTTGTCAAGAGACGGAAGGCTCTCAAACCATTCATTGTTTAATGGAACATGCGAAGCCGCGTAGGAAGAAGGAGCTAAGGGTGTCATCGCAATGCTTGCGTGCAGTTGAAAATCTTGTAAAAGTTACAGATGTGTCGGAAGATTGGCGTGTTGATCCGGTATTGAGAAAGGTATGTAAAACAGTTGTCGATACAGCATGTGGTAATGATATTGATGGAAATTCTCGTGTTATGAGTTGTTTAATGGAGAAACTTGGTACTAAATATATGACACCACCTTGTGAGACGGCACTGCTTCAAATCCAATATTTCACAGCACGAGACTATAAGCTAGATGCTATGCTGTATCAACAGTGTAAGGATGATGCCATTAGATTCTGTCATGCAAAGAAAACGTGGGCAGATGTTGAGAATGAACAAATGGATCCGGAAAGAGGTCCGACAATACTCCCATGTCTTCATCGTTACGCCTATCATCCAGATCCTAAAATGCAATTAAGTCAGAAGTGCTTTACAGAAATTAAGAGAGTAATGAGGCAACGTGCAATATCTGTTGATTTAATACCAGAAGTTGAGGATGTATGTTTGGATGATTTGGCTGAATTTTGCTTTGATAAGACACAGAAAGGTGAGGAAATGGAATGTCTTCAACAGCATCTCGAGGAACTAACGAAAGACTGCAAGAAAGCTGTATCATCTTACACAGAAGAACAGTCAGCACATATAGAGTTAAATCCACTAATTAGATCAGCATGCAGTGACGCATTAGAAAAATATTGTGGAAATATCCTGTCCGGACAAGTTGAAGGAGATGTTATGGAATGTCTGATTGCTCTTAAGAACGATGTTTTAAAACCTAATGTAAAGTGCCGTGCTGCCATTGAACATTTTCAATTGATATCTTTAAAGAATTACGTGTTCACTCATAAATTTAAGGAAGCTTGCAAGCCTTATGTCAACAGGTGAGAAAATTTATTGCATATCTAATTATATGGGTTTGAATTTTTGTGGTTTAATAATTGACATACTGATATGATGGTTGAATGACTGAGTTTGGTATGGAATTTTTTTGAATTAGCGGATGACTGGAAATGTGGGTATGAAGTTTGTTCTTGTGTGTCAACTTTTAATAGACGTCATTTATAACAAACCCCGATATATTTTTACAAAACCCTTCAGGCTCCACAACATGTCATTCTCTGTTTAGACTTACAATAATATTTATTTTTAATTCTCTAGATACTGTCCGAATAGTACAACAAAATATGACGTTATTGCATGTCTGAGCGAGATAATGGCAAAGGATACAATCAAAGATCATAAACATTCACTGCCAAAACAATGCCGCGAGCAAGTCCGTTCACAATTACAGCAACAACGTGAAAATATTGATTTTGATCCAAAACTCAAAAATGTTTGCATAAAAGACATTAAAACTTTTTGTAGTGAAATACCAGCGAACTCTGGACAAGTGAGTGTTTATGCTGAATCTTGTGTTCTTTAAAATATTGATCATTTGACTTTATTACAGGTTTTGGAATGCTTGACCAGCAATCAACATAAGCTGAGCACAAACTGTAAACATGCATTATTTGCAATCAAAAAATCCGAACTAACGGACAGTAAAACCGACTATGTGCTAATGAATACATGTAGAGGAATGTTAAAGCAATATTGTGATGGAATTGAGGATGCAAATGTACTAAAATGCTTGAAACTTCACAAGGATGAGAATATGTTCGATAAAAAGTGTCACATGGTCGTCGTGAATCGATTAATTTTACAAAATCAAGATTATAGATTTAATCCAGATCTACAGCAAGCATGCTCGAAGGATATTGCTGATTATTGTACAAGAATCGTAGTTGAGGCCAAGGAGAATGAGGAAATGAATGGAAAGGTCATAAATTGTTTAAAACAAAAGTTCAGAGAAGGAAAATTACTTACGAAATGTGAAAAGCAAATGACTGTAATTTTACATGATCAGGCCTTGAACTACAAACTCAATCCATTACTAGCTACAGTCTGCAAATCAGAAATTGATATCCTGTGTAAAGTTGATGACGATAACGACGAAGAAGGACAAGTCGAAGAATGCTTAAAAAGACAATTTTTGGGAAAGAAAATTATTACAAAAGAATGCAAGATTGAAGTCGCGACCTTAATTCAAGAAGCAAAAGCAGACATTCATGTTGATCCAATCTTATTGAAGGCATGTACTGTTGATTTATTGAAGTATTGTTCAAATGTTGAAAGTGGCAATGGAAGGCAACTCAAATGTCTTCAAATTATTCTAAATGATGAGACAAAGTCAAAGGCATTGGAAGATGATTGTCGAGAGAAGCTTCAGCAGAGGGTTGAGATGTTCCATAATGCTGCTGCTGTAAGTGTTTAATTTTTATTTGATGGGGATGGTTGAAATGGGATCCAAATGAACCAGTGAATTATAAATTACGTGCCATTAGTGTATATTGCTCCAAGGATGTACGAATTTTGAACTAGAAAAATTTAAAACTTAAGGCATAGTCATTATCAGGGGAATAGACGATTTCAAAAATATTCATGGTTGTCTAGCGTTCATGGGTTAATTAAATCACCAATATCTTACTTTACCAACCCCAATCCTCCATTAGTTGCATAATTGCTGTCATAAATATCCACCTTTTCCATATCTTACATTATGTTTATTAATTCTTGATAAAACAGGTCGCACCACAAGCCGAAAGTCTATCTGATCTCTACGAAACAGTTGTAGCATCACCAGCAAGACGTTACTTTATGATCGTGATGTTTACATTTGTTGGATTCATATTTATAATTGGACTATTCTTTGGACGTGCAACCAGGAAGCATATAGCTTTGAAAAACAAATGATTCACCATGAAAATCCTGAAGAGAAAGAAACTAAGAGCAGCATAATGTTTAACAAAAGTCAAGTCGAATCAAAACAATTCTTTTATCATTTCGAGCCATTTTTAATGAAAATTTTTTAATTGAGATTTTAATTTTATTTTTTTAAATAAAAAAGTTTTCTTTTAAATTTCTATAAAGATAAGAAAAGGGATGTGCAAGTAGTGTACATTGTGATGATTGTAGTTAAATTCTTCGAATAAGTAGTTGTAGTCCTTAATGATATGGAAATACTTAGGCATTTAAAAATGAGATTGAACTCCTGAATTGACTCTGAATTCTTGAATTAGATTTGAATTTTGTATAAGAAAAGTCTATTTGACTTAGTACAGAATTCAAGTCGGATTCGAGGACCAGAATATGATGTTCCTATGAAATAACTCCTAAGAATTTTTAATAATTCTTTTAAATCACTTTTTTAAAATTCAAATATTTGTAAAACTATCTTGTGTGCCACTCTTAATGTTCCGCAATAATTATAAGTGGGAAAATGACTGAACTTTACTAGCTTTGCCTTTAAACCCTTCAGCAACGTTTTTGTTATTTAATAATATGCAAAATAAATATTAAATGAAATTTTCTGCTATATTGTTTAAAATTCGACCCGAATTAAGTTATTTTTGTAAAATTTTAGCAGTCATTTTCTCACTGAGCAATAGTAAACTTCACAATGTGCACTTCTTGAAGCTGTGTTACTTAGGATAATGCCAAAAATATTTTTTTTTACTTCTTACAAATCTTTTTGTGTATTTTATTACTATCAAGTGGATTCTTAGTCCGATTTGAAAAATAAAAAAAATGACCAAAATTGAATTTGATGATTTTTGTTTGAATTTTTGATTTTTCGAAGTTCATATTTAACCTTATCAACAAAAAATTAAGAGCGAAAAATTTAAATGGAAATAGTTCATCAACCTTTTTGTTGTCAGCAACAAAAAAAAAACATCAATTTTTCAACATATACAGTTCATATGAAAAACTGACTTTCTTCACTAATCTCATCGAAAATGTCATTGAAAGCTTCACGAGTTCATCTACAAACTTGATTCAATATATCGCACAACAATGTTCAATAAGCTTCTAAAAGGATAGATTCAGCTATAAAATTATAGAGAAAATGTTAGAAGTAGTCACATGTCATGTAGAGATGAATGACGGAGTGAATGGAAAGATTAAAAATAAAAGTCAATCTCTATAAGTTTCTTGGAAATTGGCTCACATACAACATAGTTGAAGCATCAACAAAAATCAAAGTTGATGAAAACACTTGAGTTATTTGTCACAAGCTTCTGTCATCGACAGCAATCTGCGCACGTTTTGCTGATATTTATGCGATGAAATGACTTTTATTGAATTGAAAAATTCAGAACTAATCTTTTTTTGAAGGATTTCTAGATTTCAGAATCGTTGATAATAAAGGAGTGAAATTACTTTGATTTGGAATGTTCAAACTCTGCCAAGAGATTCAGAAGAGCAATCGTTCCTTTATTGACCTAAAGGAACAAACTCCTGGCTACTTATGGGTCTAGTTTCATAACAAAACCCTAGAAAAAGCATGTGAATAACCTAAAATAACCTAAATTTACAATATCATCATCATATCCCCAAAACCTCATCAAGAATTCATAAAATTCAAATAAAAATCTCTCATTCCAATTCTTCATCTATTTATTAAACAGATTGAATCATAAACTTTAAGAAAAGTCTTCCAAAAAAAGCACCCGACTACGAAAATTACATTCATAAATATTTTAATCCACATTGTTATCCATAAACTTTTTGTATTCAACTTCATTTTAAAATAAACAAAACTTTTAACAACAAGAATCTGTGAAGATGCATGGAAGGCATCATTTTGTGGACAGCTGCTAGTCATCTTGATGTTGATGATGATTAAGTAAAACATAGGGTGACCATCTAATTTTTATGAAAATACAGGACATTTGATAAATTTCCTAAAAAATACAGGACACAAAGGAAAATTTGAAAATTAACGGAAATTTTCGTGAAAAAAATACAGGACCTGGAACAAAATTTTCAAATTTATACAGGACAGGGTTTTGAAATACAGGACTGTCCGTTGTAAAACTACGCAGATGGTCACCCTACTAAAACAGCAAAATGCTGTTCGGTATCATAAACATAAACTAGACTGGAACTATAAACCACTTCAAGATGGTCTTTGCGGATTATAAACTACAAGTTTATCAACATAATTCTGACATTCTGCATAAACTTTGGATTTCTTATGTATGAAATTGAAATCATTTATGATATGATTGTACTATGCTGCATGTTTTTGGGAAAGTTTTTTATGTAAAGGATATGTAAAGTGCTGGGGCTAGATTCTGCGGCTATCCTACTCTTGCATTGAAATTTGGTGACCTACAATATAGGATTAAAATCAAGTTGACCTGAGACTAGTCAAAGATTTCACCTGCAGTCCTACAAACTAGCCCCAAGATTGCTGAAGCAATTGTCAACCTTGAAAACTTACAATTTTTATGTCCTTACAATGTTAGAATTCACATTGTCAGCGTTAATCTCAACTATAAAATCCTTTCTAGCTTCGAATGCAACATAAACCATGACAATGTTTTCAACATATAAATTTTCATTTAACAGTTCTGCCGAATAAGAAATCGAACGTGACACATGCGACACGTTTCCGAAGTTTAAATGATTATTTAAGGCTCAAAACACGTGTTCATCCTTGAACTTAGAGAACTTGTTGTCATTATTAATTAGCAATTTAATTAAGGCGATAATTTACATGTTTTATTCGAGTGAATGAACAAATTGATATTTATTATTTATGCTAAAGCCGTAATTGCAATTTGCTTTGTTGTGCATCTCTTTCGTATCATTCTTTTTAATTTTATAGATAGACAGTTGTAATTAAATCTTTTGCTGGAATTGGATGGAAATCGAATAATAATAGGATTGAAATTGATGTATATGTTGCACATCTTTGGTTGCCATAGCAACATTTAAAGCTTCAAACTTAACTGAAAGGATTTAAACAAAATTAAAGTAATTCCAGCATCAAATATCAATTTAGAATTAAATATCATAATTAAGATAACTTTACAAACTATCATTCCTAATGCAGCCTCCCTAAATTTCTCTGCAATTATCCACAATTTATCACTTTACAATGTAATGTGTCTGATATGGTAAATTGGTGCATTTGAAATGCAGATTGTAATTCATTTACATCGTAATTTTCCTCCTGGTCATAATATTGAAGTAATTTTACGATAATTGTTGCAATTTATTACAAATTTCAAATTTATTTGATTAGTAATGTGAGTTGCATTTATCAGAGTCATGAGATAGATTACTTTCACACTGTGGTTTTAGTAATTAATTTGATTTGATTAATGTAAGTGTCTAAAAGCTATAAAGTGAATATTGTGTGAGAAAAAAATAAATAAATCGAGAAGATAAAAGTTTTAATTGTCATCTAGTTCTATCAAGAGCTTAGCCTCGTTTTTAAGGTCTGATAAATTGCATTTTGATCATTTTTGATTTTTTTGATCAATTTTTAATAATTAATTCAGTTCCGCACCCTCTTTCTTTATTTTAGCCTCAATTGTCTCTTACCACTTCTACACAACTAAAGATCCAGAATTTTATTGATATTTATTATTTTTAGTTCACTCTTTAAAACTATCATATTAAATTGAAAATCAATGTAGTTCAGTTTCAGGTACTTACTCTAGTCACAGTCAAAATTTTGGATGGTGCTCTATTTTGAACCAGATTAATATTCCTGAACCTAATAGCTGTTATTGCTTGATTTTTAATCTAGATTTAATATTAGTAACAACTGATGTCATTCAAATTTGGAGTAGCTAGAGATTTTGAAGATATTTAAGGACTGCATCAACATAACCAAAAATAAATAAATTTATTAAAGTAAATTCCCACTCAATATCGTCATTATCATCCCAATCACATCAAGTTCACCTTCTCCTCTTAACTTTTCCAACAAAAACCAGTGATGAGGATCATAAAACTTATAACGTATGCTGATAATGTATCATAAAATTCCCAGACACGAATGAAATTCCCTTCTGTGAACATTTTGTTTTATGAATTTTAATTAAATGTCGTCAGCTCAATTTTTATGGTTTTATGGTACAGTGTGATCATTAATCATTGTTCTCTGTTATGTATGCACAAATAAATACCGAACAGAAAATCGTAGTTTTCTCATGCGAAATATCAATAGTAAATTTTCGTGTGCTATTAAAATGAATGCAATAAATGCTTATGGAAATCGATATATGACTGCGAATAATACATTTTTCTCGGGTATTGACTATTAATCATGCAGTTTTGTCAGTTTGGAATTTTATATGTTTTTGGGGAGATTTTATTCGGAGGATAAAGGATAAAAATTTAAATTATTTTTTTTGCACTGAAATCTAGAAAAATATTGAACTTGACAGCAACATTGATTGCTCTAAAGTTTCCTCAATTCATCAGAAAAAATCCAGTATTCATGCAAATTCTCTCATTTAAAATTGAAATTTACATTGAATATTCATTACAAATTAGGACAATGGCATTGACACAAATACGTAACATTGATGATGAAATTTAATTCAGCACTAAATCTACTTCCAGAAACATTGACCACAATACGAATCATGTAAGCAAATCAACAGAGTTGAGAGAGATTAGATGAAAATTTTAAACTTTTCCGTAATCAATATTTTAATTTTATGGTCATGGAAATGAACATTTTGATAATTGGGCATTGGTCCAATAAAAGGAAAATTCTACAAACTAGAAATTATGTGCGATCGGATGAGGATAAAAGCAATTTTAAAATTCCTGTGACAAGTTTATCTTGTCTGAAAATGAAATTAAAGTTTTGGATTTTGTAAAAACTCGTTTGTTTAAATTAATTTCTGGCAATTCAAGAATTCAGAATTAAATATTAAATTTCCTAAAGGACTCTATAACTGCACATTAGTTGAGCATTTTCGATTATTATAAATTTTCCATAATTTCATTTATTTAAATTTCAATTTAATTAATAATGGCGATACAGGACGTATTAATTGCTATAAATGACGACCTTAGTTTAAACAGTATCAAATTTCAATTTTGTAATTTAATAAATTAATGAAAATTTTATTCGAGATTTTAGAATTATTTTCATAAACTATAATTTAAATATTTGTATTTTATTATCAACATTATCAAATTATAGTAGATTGAATATCTCTTGATTCGGATTGCAATTCCTGCAAAAAAATTTTTTTTAACAAAACGACTTAAAAGCTGAAAAATTATAAAATTCTTATTTTAAATTTTCATTTCTTTGAATTTTTCGATATTCTAAAATCAAAGACAGGATGTATTTAGATGACACTACAAAAAATGGGACTATAGAGTAATAATAATCATAATATTCAAAAATATAAAAATTAATCCTTAAAATATTCATTATTGATGAATAATTTAAAATCTTATTATTGAATATTAAATATAAAACTTATTAAAACTAATTTTTGAGCTATGAGAATTTTCGAATGAATTTATAAAAATTTTAGAAAGGAAATTAAACTTTAAAACTTAAAATTTTCATTCAGTTTTCAGCTAGCAAAGGAATCAGAACAAAAAAAATGGAAACATTCATATATTATATCGAAAAAACATTACTAATAATAGGATTTGATTTTCATGGAAAATTTGATGGAAATTTAGAAAAATTGAAAGCTTTGAAGATTCTAAGATATTCAAATTTTGGAATTTTGATTATAGCATTTATTCAGGCAATTACATATTGCAATAAATCTGACTGGAATGATAAACAAATTGTGGACACAATTGTGCATGCTATATTCTTCTATACTGGATTTACAAGAAGTTTTGTGCTTATGAAAAATTTGCCTAAAATCAGAAACATGATTTTTCGGATTAATCAAGTCTATAAAATTGAACTTAATGGTGATTTTCACTTAAAAGGCACAGAATTTATGAAATCAATGGCTAAGATTGGATTTCGAATTGTGATTCTTCTCAGTTCCTTGTCTATACTCTTGCTTATTTCTGGAGTAATAAAATTGTTTATATTTTGGCTGAAGGATGAAAAACCAAAAGATTTATTCATGTATGGATTATATTTTCCATTTGATGCTTATGATCATCTGCCATGGACTCACCTGTACGTTGGTTATATCAACTGGCTGTCAGTATTCTCATCTCTAGTGTTTGATCAAATGTTGGTGCTGTGTCCAATATCTTATGTCGCAATATGCTTTGATAAGCTTGCTGACGACTTCAAGGTCGTCATTGAAAAAAGTAAATCATCAACTTTGCTTAAGACAAGGATGAAATTAAAAGAATGTGTTGATATTCATAATAAGCTTATTGGATTCTGTAATGACATCAATTCATTTTTTGGAGCTCTAATCTTACAATTCTCAATATTAGGACCAATGATTGTGGCAGTTTTAAGTTACAGAGCTTTTGTAGGTATTTGTAATAATTTTTGAAAAATTACAAAAACATTCTCTTTTTAGGATCAAAACTTCTTTTATGTTCTGGCAATTCCATTCCTAATGATTGAAGGTTTCGATATTTTCTATGCTGGACAGAAACTTAAAGATAATGTATTTTAAAGTTGTTCATAATTGTACGAGTCCTAACCTTATTACATTCCAGAGCATGAAAATTGCAGAGAGTATTGCAGGCTGCGACATCAATAATGTCGATCGATTATTAAAAAAAGATTTGATTTTTATTATGCAAGTTTCTCAAAAACCACGAACTATAGCTTTTACTGGATTTCTGACATTTGATCTTGGAGCATTTACGATTGTAAGTTACATGGCAGGCTTACCATTTTAAAAATCAAAGTTTTTATTTTTTTGAACTTTTGTATAGATCATGCATTCAGCATATTCTTATGTAACGATTATGAGACACATTTATAGGTAAAAATCTTTCATAGATGACATCAAACATTAGAAATGTAAGGGATGTGTATCGATTTGTGTGGCCTGGTTTCTGATGAATGTCTACTTGTTAAGTTAGATTCAAATAATTCATTTAATATTGATAAGTTTAAAATATAACAAAATTTTACTTTTGAAAGTTTTTAAAATAGATTTTTATTATTTTACAAAATTGTTAAAATTGCTTTTGATTGTACTTTGACATGTTTGTATTTTCCGTGTTTTCTATTTTTGTCATGAAAGCCTCAAAACAGAATAAAATATCTTGACAAAAAAAAAGTTGTGTTAAATAATAATTGACTAGCTTTTGTTATAGAATAGCTTTTTAAATTAATATCATCTTTAATGTTTAGCAATAAATTTTTATACGCATTTGCTAACATAAATATCGCACATAATAATCGAAAAAATAATTTCCAAAAAAAATCAAATTGTGATGAATGATATAAACCAGATATAGACATTCAAAAACTTAACGACAGTCATCATTAGCAGATCAAAAAGATTATTTTTTGATGTATTATTTTATCGATAACGCAAAAAATATAAAAATTTCATGTCTGTTATTAGCTTTTATACGAATATTAAATTAGAGAATGAAATAAAGTTCATCTGAAATTATCGACAGACTTAATTATTATGTACGAAATAGATTTTTATTTCATAATTTAGTTCAGCTACTAATCACCGGTACATCTTACTAACAAATTCATGCCAACATTCAATTCAATTTTATGTAAATAAAATCTAAGCTCAATCTCAACAGAAAATGCAATTTCTCACAATCTTCTATGCCAATTCAAGCACAGTAGTGGGGCAAATTGTTTACCTTCGTGAGAGAGATCAAATTCAGCTCAGTTACTTTTTTCAACTATAGTAAAATAAGTATCAGTCTCTTTTCTCAAGTCAAACAGTTAAGTTTGCTGTACAAAATGACTTTAGTTGCTCAAAAAAGTTTATTTTTACTTCTTGTTTCTATTATTGCTGTTTTTGGTGACTTTGAAGATTCAATTACTTTTACAGCATTCACCAAGTTAGTTGATTTATGACAAATTAATGGTTTTAAAAGATGAGAAAGGAAAGAAATCAGTGTGAAGAAACAATTGTGACGTAGAAACAGCTGAGAGTTGATTCAAACATTTTCAGATTCATTTGTATTGTTATGAACAATTTGGAATGGAATTGATTACTATGAAGCTTGTAATTGTGGATTGCAAAAGAAAATCAAAGTTGTGTGCTATCAATAGTTACTATTGCAATATCTTTTAATCGAGAATCTAGTTTGAAGTTAAAAAACTATAAATATCAAGTCAGGTTTTTTGTTGAGTAAAGTTATTTGGAATTGTTACGAATATTTTGAAGGTTAGGCCGATTCAGGCATTCTTGAACGTATATTAGTACTCATAGTAGGTTTTCTATAGCACGTATCATAGGTGATAATTAGGAAAGCTGTTGGTAATTTCACCGATTAACTTATTGACAGTTGTTATTATATTAATAATCTTTATCGGGGTCATTCACTTATGACGTATAGTACTTAGATAGATCCAGCTTGTATATGATCCATTGCTCAAGAGACCTTTAAAGAAGCTAACCTTAAGTGCAAGAAGTTATTGAAAAGATAAACAATGAAATTTGCAGAAAAATCCAAAAAAGTGTTAATCATCAGTTTAGCATTTAGTGACAGAATTTCACACTAGTTGAACTTCAAAATAAACTTCCTTAAGACGAATTGTCTATCATACTTTATCATATGATGTTCATTGTTTGCGAATTTCATCAAACAAGAGAGTGAAGAACAAACAAAAGAGCAGCAGCTGCTGAACTTCGTTAGCAATGAAATTTGTTGAGTTTCACTTTTTTTCTTTTCTAAATTGAAATTTTCGGAATCAAATAAGCAACATTTGCTCATTCAATAAGATGAAAATAAAAGAATTCCTTGAAGGATCTCTCAATTTAGAAGTTATTTTTATATTACCGGCCAGAAATTCTCAGAATAATTTTATTTAGACTGCAAAAGCTTCTGTTTCAATTTGGACCGGCACGTGTTCATGTTTTTGAGTGCCGGTTGTTAACAACAACAACAGATTTAAGAAGCAGCTCGTGAACTCCTTTTAATACCAAAATAAAGAATAATCCTTGATGCTAAAAATACTTCCACCTTGAAAGTCCAAACTTCAGTAATTCTCATTCTCATATCTTATTATTTTTAATTATGACATCTCATTAACTCTAAGCAGCGAGCATTGAAATGTTTAATAAAAGTAAATTTACTCGAGAAAAAAACGGTGAAAGAAGAAAAAGAAACTGTTTGTCATGAAGACTGTCTGCAGCACAATTGAGACAAATAAAATGAATTTTATAGTTCTCATAATTGTGTAATGATACTAAAAGTCAGGGTTGACGTTGTTGGATTAAGATATGATTGACACTAAATTGAGCAGTTTTTAAAACTGTAAGCAAAGTTCGGAGTCGAGTCGAGTTTGTTGTCATGTCAACTTTGTTGTTGTCAATCGATTCAATCAATTTTTTGTGAGATTTCGTTTAATTGACTTAAATGAGTTTCAATAGAGTCGACTTCAAATTTTAAGAGGAGCTGCTTGAAGGAACCAGAGTTGGAGGACTCACTTAATTATCCATTGCACCTATCTTACAACCCTGATCGATAAAACCTCTTTTCATTTCATTATTATCTCACAACTGTGAGTTGAGCATTAAACAATAATTTTGTGTTGTTTGACTTTTAAAAACGTCATTGCCTGTGGAAGTACTCTTCTGTGTACTTACCGTATATGAAGCAAAAAATCGTAATTAGCGCTTCGTAGTTCAAGGTAGAAAATGTAATTAATAGCCACAACATAAAGTGACCTGTTCCACAAACTATTTGAGCATAATCATATCTAGTTTTACAATGCTAGTGTGCGTTATTCTATGACTAAGTTGATGATTCAATGAGTTTGGGGGTTGCCGAGGTTCGGAAATTAAAAATGGAGATTAAAAATGGAGATTAAATAAATCATATATTGTGAAAATTGAACCAATGCAATAAAGGGGTGACTAATGCATTAACAAAAGCTCCTTCTATGCCTCTAGCAATTCGCTTGAACTTTACACAACTTGATACTTAATATTCTACTGTTGTTACATTATCTACGACTTTTTTACAGTTCACTGATTCTTGATGTTCTTGCTCTAAACTGTTATATCTTCCAGGAAGCGCTGCAGACTGAAGAATCTATTTATAATCCAAACTTTATTGTACAACTCATACCATAACTTCTCCTTTATTTTCTAGAGATGGCGATAACTTTGTGTCGACATTCGATGACAATCTCACGGAGCGTGGATGTAATTCTAGTGAAAAGGTAGCGGTCGTTGTTCACGGATGGGGTGAAAGCATGGAAACCAATTGGGTTAATGATCTAATTAAAAATCTACGTGAATATCGTGGCGGATGTATAATATTCATGGATTATTCCAATCACTCTATCGACAGAGATTATTTCAATCTCGTGAGAAAATTTGGTCCAATATCGAGTGTTCTAATAAGGAAATTAGATCAATTAAATAATCAAGGATTTGATGATAAAAACATGTTTATGTATGGATTCTCGTTTGGCGCTCAGCTCTCAATTTATGCTGGCATGTCCTTTGGGAAAAACCGAATCGCTGAAATGGATTGTGAGTTATAATTAAATTCAATTTAATCAATTCGTTAATTAGCTTGAGGTGAATGCTGATGATTTATTTAATTTATTTTTATGACAGTGTGCGATCCAGCCGGGCCAGGATTTGTTTTGGCATTCGAGCTCAGACCAACATTTGCTGCTAAAAATGTTCAATGTATGTAGATTTGAATCAATTTGCTTAATCACACATTTTTATATTTAAATTCACAATAATAATAATTAAGGCATCCACACAAGCAGTGCAAAGGGAACAATGAAACGAAATTGTCATCAAGACTGGCTTATGGGTAAATGTGGTCGATCACAAGATGCAGCCGGAATATTTCCGCGAGGTAAGTCTATAAAATATAATTGTCATCACGCAATGCCAATTTACAGAATAATAATTATTTCCTTCATTCGACAGGCAGTCATGGTTTGTGTCCAAAATTTTACAATTCAGCATTTACAAACAATTTTTATGCAACAGAGAACATGTATCGTTGTCCATCGCGACGTGTTGCTGTGAATGTGCCAAAGAATTTCAAAATGGGCTACATGGAAACAAGGAAGAAGTGAGAATCTTTTTTATTGTGGCTAAGACACAGATTTAATGGTCTTTTTTGTTTCCAGTAAAGTGTTTGGTGACTTGTTTTCACCTACTAGTGAGTGCTATCCATATAATAATTTGCCAGCGGCTGGTATTGATAATAGACCAGGTCCATTTGCTAGAATGAGAAGACAAAGGCTTACACAAGAGCTAAGGAGATGTGAAGCTTAAATTAATGACGTCTAGGGAAGATGAGAAGCTATTTTTAATACGTCATATGTGACAAACCCCAAAGCAAACAGTTTTAAAATTTATACAAAATAAAATTATGTTATTCATGAACCTAGCCATGTAATCTAAAATTAAAAATCATTTTAAAATATTCTTAGTCACACAAAATGTTACATCTATGCATTGAAAAGCGGAGGTTAAAATGATTGTGTGAATTTATTTTCGCATGTAAATAATTGCTGCAATTTTATAATATAGATTAGTTGATATGTTTAAGTGTTTACCGGTATTTAAATGTTTTGAGATAATTTTGTTGGCAAAATAATTCCAACATCTACAAGTAAGCTCATATGTCAACCTTCTTAGAAGATGTATGGATTAAAAGTGGATTAAATTTGTCTGAGCAACAAAATTTCATGTTATTTGACAAAATATTTGTCTATGTATTAATATTAATTGCCTTTAATCGTTTTTAATTGATGGAATTAATTTTACTGATAAGCTACTGTAGCTTTACTTTTATACAAACTCTAATTGGATTTTCTGATTTCACTTAATAAACAAAGTCTTGTCATTTTAATTTGTCAAAGATTTTCTGATTTTTCCAGAGTATTTTGCTTTAATTTCATTTAATTTGAAAATGGTTTAAAAAATTTGAAGCCCTATATTTAGGCTGTTAAACTGTGCACTTTTGAGCGGGACAGTCATCCTTTTTTGAACAAAGTCCCGTCTAAAATCCTTAATGTGCCGCTTTTTAACCTTTTTTTTCTTTGAAAATGCTTGAAATTTTTGTCTGTTCTGCTTTTTCAGAGCTGGAATCGGAACATGTCAAAGCATGCAAAAACAGATGGTCAGCCTTTGCGTCTCTGTTTATTTCTAACTGTCCTCATTTCACTTTGAAACTTTTTTAAGTCCACATTTCTTATCATTAATTGTCTATTGTTATTCTCATTTAAAGTTACAAAGAAAATGTATTCAATCATTCCAAGGGAATGTATCATTTGGAATTGAAAACATTGAGATCAGTAATACTTCTTGAACCGGGGCTATAGCTTGGGCCTTGGATCCTAGAGCAGGAATAAAATTCGATATACGACAGCATTGGGAATGAACAGAATTTTTTTGAGAGCATTTTTTTTGTAAAGCAGGTTCCCCTGGAAAGCCTCTGAAACCGGTCCGAGAAATATCTACGCCTCTGACCCTAGTTTATGGCTAGATGGATCAAAATTAGAGTCAAATTTCCTAGAACCTAATCGCCTGCACTTATCCAATAGGTTAATGTATTGAACTTTAAAACTTAACATTTCTAAGTTGAAAAATAGTTTCGAGCAACAAAAAGTTACACCTCCCTGGCAATTCATCATAGTTTTGACAGAAATATAGTAAAAATACTTTCTGCAAATAAATTACTAAATTATTCAATGCCAATAAAAATAGTAACTTTAAATAGACCCGTATTGTTTCTAATGTTGTTACAAAATGTGACTTCAAAAAATGTTAAAAAAAATTTCATCACAAAAGCTGATGATTCTTAATCTCTCGGCTGTTGACACTCAAAAAACAATAAAATAAAATTATTTCTTTACTGCCATGTACACAAATATATAAATTTTTTATCTGCACATCCTTTCATTTTTATGTCAACAGAGCAAGTAAATATTTATTATTCAAATGAGTGAAAACATGACACGCATGTTAAGGGTACAAATAAAATAATAAAAAAATTGTAAATTTTTGGCAGTCGTCCTCAGATATTTCGTTGCGGTTAAACTCGAAAATGAATTTGTGGGAGAAAATTTTGTCTGTTTACATTTTGACAACGATTTGTTACATTTACATTGACTGTGATACTATCAGTGATGATTCCATTACTTTTTGGGTGATGCCTGGGTAAGTTCATGATTGTTGTTTAATTCAGTTCCTGCTGTTAATCAGCATCAATTTTATAAGATCCGGCTTACCAATGTTCAACTCATCATACAATCAATCCCTGTCATCCCGTGGATGCAATTCAGCTGGGAAATTTTTCATAATCATCCATGGCTGGTTAGAAGGCTGGCATACAGAATGGGTACAAGATCTGATCAGCAACCTCACAATTTATCGAGGCGGTTGCATAATATTTATGGATTATTCAAATTATTCGGTGAATCCAAACTACTTCCTTCTCACACCGCAATTTCAAAATATTTCCGACAAATTGCTAAGGTTCATGGAACAACTAGACGGGGAGGGATTTGATTTCGACAATGGATATATATTTGGATTCTCATTTGGCGCCTGGCTTGCGATTAAGACAGCGAAAATATTTGGAACGAAAAGATTTTCACAAATTGATGGTGAGAGAAAAGGATGTGATTGTGGGGATTTTGTCAGATTTTATAGAGGAGGTAGCATGCAATGATTAACATACATAAGATTTTGGATTAGCTTTTAAATTCTTTAGAATTATTTTAATTTAACTTAGTATAAAAGCAAGACAAATGCAAGACAAAATCATTCTGACAAATTTTTGCAAGGGAAGACCTAAAAAATTCACATTACTCTGCTCTATAGATATGCATGAAAGAATATTCCTGAGAATGATTAAAAAGATGAAAATTTTGCAAGTTAAGCCCTTGTTAAACTTCTGGTCGGATTCAAGTCAAATTCGTTTAATTTTGACGTTTCTCATTTTGGGATGTAGAATGGGACAAGATGGTCAGAAAAATTAAAAATTCATGAGCGTTCAGGAAAGACATTCAAGTATGTTAGAACTTGATTGTTATCCATTTAGCAACTAAGAATAGGATATTGAGCAGAAACATCAAATTAGCTAGTGCCAAGCGGGAATCGAACCGCCATTCTTACAATATTTGATTGAATACTTATGTTACGGAGCTGGCATTGACAATAAGTTAAGCAGTTTGTGACCTTAAACTTTTTTTCTGTACTGAGGAGAACCTTTGCATTTGGCCATTCTACTTATAAAGCTCCAGATATTATAAGACCCATAGAAAAATCAAAATCTGACAAAATCATCACAATCCACCAAGCTTTCCATCCACATAAGCTTTTTATATTCATGCATTTAAGCTTCTTTTCCTTAAATTCTTTTTTCATTTCTTCCAAAATTTCTTCTCCATTCAAAACATTTTTCTTCTCTCTTTTTTTACAGTCTGTGATCCAGGTTAAGTATGCATATGGGAAAATAAAGTCGGAAACGTAAAGCTATCTAGCTTCTTGCTATTTCCAAACGAATAAAAAGGAACTGAAATAGAAAAGTAATTTAATTGCATAATTTTTTGATTTCACAGCTGGTCCAGGATTTGATTTAGGAGTCGATTTGGGAGATCATTCGTTGGCTGCACAAAATGTTCAGTGTAAGTCGATTTTCTTAAAGATGCTCTTCTGGATGGTTAACGATTCAATTCTATTGGTAGTAATTTTGTGGATTACTGTTTTAATTTGTACATTTTTTGCTATGTGAGAAATTAACTTTACGACTGGGATGGGATGATGAAGTGAAATATTTTGGCATTGTGGCTAGTAATTGATGGAGTTTTGTGGTTTTCGTTTTATTAAGTGAATTTCGGTTGTGGTTGTATCTTCACTTTAAAGTGGATTTTGCAGTTGAAATTCTTAATCTAACCTCAAAATTATATTTCTCTCAGGCATTCACACAAACAGTGGTGGACTAGGAACTACGATCAAAAACTGCTCACAAAACTGGCATATGGGTATATGCGGCACTCTACAAGTCGGTAAGTTGAGAGAATAAATCAAGGGGAAAACAACATGATGGAAAAAAATTTGATTAATTTTATCTCAAAAGTTTCACTTTTTTCACTTCTAATCACCAATGTGGTATAACAAAAATCAAAATTTTTTGTATTTATATTATTTTCCATCATGTTGTTATCACCTTAGAAAAAAATCAATAATTTTAAATTTATGACTTAGCTTTTTCACTTCCTTAGGTGCTCAGCCTTTCCCGAAAGGTCATCATGGTATGTATGAGGATTTTATAATCAGTAATAAACTCTTAAAGCAATTAATTATGTCCTAATGAGTTCATTTTTATTCATTTTTATGAGAAAGGCCTTTGCCCTTATTATTATACGGCAGCATTCAAGCATGATTTCATTGCATGGCAAAATATTTATGCATGTTACTCAACACGTGCTGTTGCTAATTATTCAGTGGACTTTAGAATGGGTTACATGGAGACACTTGAAAGGAAAATGTAATATGATGGATTGAGAAAGTGGGTTGTGCCTTTTTTCGACGCTTTTTTGAGGCAAATTAATGAGCTTTTATGTTCATTTTGGATGATGGAGGGCTTTTTATTTATGTTGAAGTACTGGCTTATTAAGCATATTTAAAGTTGCAAATTTTGATTTAATTTAAGAGCTTTCGAAAATGCGTCTTAAGCACAAAACACTCCACTCAATTCCTGTAATTTTAATTAGCAAAATAAATTAATCTTGCTAATTACCCTTATGTTAATAAATTACAATCTACACCGTCTTTTTTTTAGGAGCGTAATTGGAGATTTATTTTCTCCAACATCGATGTTTTACCCGTACAATGAAATTCCAGGAAGGATAAAGACAGCAAACGCTACAACGGTTGAATCTAATGATATTTGAAGCTTAAAGTTTGTCAATGAATTTTTTGATGATTTATTTGTATCAAATAATGAAGCATGAGTATAAGAATTTTAGGAATTAATTTATTTTATTTATTGTTTTGAAAAATTGTTGAAAAATGTTTGAAATGCCTTAATTTGGAATGTAATAAAAATATTTGAAAGTATTTAATTTCTTGAATTTTGCAAGTTTTGATTAAAAATTTCAGGTCAGTGAATTGTTAAGCGTCAATATCGACATCAGGTCTTGTTAAAATATTTTTTAAAATCATCCATAATTTATCAACACTTATAAAATGCCCAACAACCATGTTATCAGCAACTCCTTCTGTACAATGATGTGAAAAAACTTCCGAAGCGTCTTGACTACCTGTTCGGTTATCTGCTCTAATTATGTGATAAAATACTTACATTTATCATTATTTTACTGTCAGTCTTGCTGAATATGAAACGCGTGTGGCATTGTAATGACAAAATGAATCGGAGCTTTATCAAGAGACACGCGAAATCAATTTTGTCAAGAAGAAAGGGGAAAGAACTTCCTGCACAGTGTGATTCATAGTATTTGAATGTTAAGTATCCAGTAATTAGATTGATTGATATGTCTTGATTTTATGATCGATTGTAGTGTATCATCGAAAAATTGAATAGCTGGAAAAAAAGATTTTCTTCAATTTTAAAGCTTTTCCGTCCTTGTCTACAATTGTTTCTCAGGTTTAAATATTACTTTATAATTTTATTGTTCACTGACTTTGTGCTAATTCTTTTGTTATGCTTTGTTTACTACTTTATGGCTGGACTAAATCTACATTAAAACTAGTCTATCTATATAGACTAGGTATGGGGAATTTCAAACGGTAGCTAGTGATAGAGTCAGATTCAGGTGTCATCTAATGGAGGGTTTGGATTACAATTGATCTTTACGGCCAGCGAAATAACAAAGTAAGTTCCACCAAAAATCTTGTGGATAGACCCCAATGTTAGCAAAGAGAAAGTCCGTTGCTTTTTATTTTTTTTTAAACTAGCTGTTTAATAAAGCATAAACATTTAAGGAATGCAATCATTTCAGATTTTACAGTATGTATAGTTGTATAGTCTTGCATTGAAAATGATTCTGATTCTTAACTTCAATTTGAATTCAAATTTACCAATGAATAATGCGAAATTTCTCTTTAATGCTGTCAGGCATGAATACTTAATAATTCTCGCATACATTGTAAAAATTTACATTAATTTACAAATTTTTTTCACGTCATCATCATTTTCCGACTATAATAAACTTTTTAATCTCCTGTTTTACAAAAATGAATATTTTTTTTATCATATCAAAATCATAATTGTTAATTACAACAGCGTAGCACAATGTAAAAGAGTATGTTATAATGAGAGTGAGAAAACGTGATAAGAGCGCGAAAAGCGAGAATTCGTTAGAAATCGTTGACGGCGGCTAAATGAATGAATGAGTAAATGTATGCATTGTACTATGCGTTAAGTAATTTGATAACAAATTTTACATTTTAGTCGATGCATGCGATCACGTTACTTGACAATTTAAAAAGGGGTTATGTTGTTTATTAAAATTACAATAAAATTCTGGATAATATTGCATACTCTTTAGTTTGGAGTATGAGCATCACGCCTTTGTCAGAATGTATAGCTTGTGTTTTGGCTTCTAAACCATTGCAAATTGAAAATGATTTCCCAAATTTTAATATCCTCCATTCAAAGTTTTCATATAGCCTTTAACAGCTTCTAAATTGATGACAACTTAATCACACACAAAAATACCCATAAAACATCAAAATTGTATCGCCAATAGCCGCCCTAAAATCTTCATTACAAACCTAATAATAGAAAATGATTAATGAACTTAAAATATCAAATGACAAAAATCTTGACCTCAAAAAAGGATGACATTTTAATCACATCGCAAATCTCTGCGCTGATTAATTAATTGAATAATAATGCAAATTTAGTTCATTCATAGTCAATTAATTTTAAATGTTTAATGGGATTAGAAATGTGCATCAACATTTTAAAGGGTTTATGGTTTACTATTGTATACAAGGTACTCTGGAGCGCCTTTGACGCTTTCAGGGTTTAGTTCTAAGACGCAGGGTGAGTTTTCAGGTTAAACGGGTTTAACCTTCTTACAAAACTTCCCAACCTCTTTACACGGGTTCACAAAACTTCACGATTTCGTAAATAGCTTCACACAGCTTCCATTTCAGAGTCAGGGAGGATATTGGGTGTTTATAATATAGATACTTCGTCATATTATGAGGGCATTCATAAGGAACTCATTAAAGAGTCTTTTAGACAATCCTACAAGTTGTCAAAGTTTCATATTAGTTGTCATGTAGATTTGGGCCTACTTCAAACCTTCATGAGTTAATGACAATGAGGACCGAAGAACTCGTGGATTGGATGTGTTGAAAAGGACGCAAAAGTCCTTAATATCTCGAACTGAAAGAAGGTTTCTAATGATAGAGCTGTCTTTAGACGATCTCTAAGCGCGATAATGGGTCCACATGCACCCCAATCAAAGAAATAAGTAGTAAGTATAAGTAATGAAAATGAGGACATGAAAGCTGTAAAATAAAGCTCCAAGAAATTAAAAAATAAATTTCAAAATTATAAAACACATAAACAACCCTAAAGCCCATTCAATCTCACATCAAAATTCGTTTACTTAACAAATCAATCCCGATTTTGCTTGTATTAAAGAGAATTTTACAAAACAAAAAAATACTCTAGGTTTATTGATGTCTTATACAGATAAGATATCAAATCGCAGTAAAAGATATGAGACTGTACAAAATTCACAAATAGACACAAAATTGTCGACATTTTAAATTAGCACATGTCAATGTTTTCATGCAATGTTCTTCCGATTTCTCAATTTACTTTAAAAATCCTCTCAAATTACACAAAAATAAATTATTTGCAGCTTACATAGCAAAACCCGGTAGACATCATTAGCATCGCAATGTAAACTAGAAATATGCAGTTTTGCAAAACTTCTTGCCATGCCTAGAATTCTCGCTGGTTCAAGTCAACAAAAGTCAAAAATAAAGTCACGTGAGGTATCAACTCTTCATGAAAGCCTGCCAAGGAATTGAGAAGAAACAAATTCAAAAAAAAATCACTTCAAATAAAAATTAAAAAGAAGCTCATAAATGAGTACTTGTAATGCGATGTGTTTTTCATTTGTGGTTGTTTTTGTCTCTCTTCAAAGCACTCAATTTCATAGATTTCATTTCAGTCGTGCTATAATCGTCGTTGAGTTTTAAAGTCGCTAAGTAATTTTTACACATGAAGAAATTTTAAAAATATAATAAAATAAAGTAAATAAGAAGAACTAAAGTGTTTTTACGCAGCAACGCGAGTTTGATTATTTTTTTTTTGTAATGCAATGAATGTTTAACATTGTGGAAGTTTGAAGCAAAAATTTAAATTAATTAATTTATGACAATTTGATGATTTAAATAATTTTAATGTGCAAAAAAAGTTTCTGATAAAAAAAATTCCCGACTCAGAAATGAGCTCAAGTGATAAATAAAAATAAAGTACGAAAGAAAAACAAAATTAAGGAAATAATCGATCAAATTGAAAGAAGTAAGAATAGAATATTTTTACATTTGAATGTTTACCTTTCTGGAAATAGTGTGCAAACTTAATCATGCAATAAGACTTGGACATTTTTGTCATTAGCAGTGAATTGTTAATATTTTTCGTAAATAAAGTGAAGGTTACTGATTAGACATCCTCATCATTTGTTTGTCATTATAATTATTTTAAAAATAAAATAAAAGTGAAATGAGTTTAAAAAAATCATGAAGTGCATAAAGCGCAGTTCTAAGGGTTGATTTTTGGGGCTTGGAGTCAAAGGAGTTGTCTCGGCTTGAATCTTTTGAAGAGTTTATGTTGTCTTATAATATGGTTTTGTAGCCTTTTAAATCAAAACACTCTTAGCTGTCGCCCTAGTCACACACTATGTTTAGAACCCTCGATCATAACCCAATCCAACTGTAATCCAAGCGTCAAAAAGTTTCTGTTGACATGAAGGGAACACCTTGTTGAATTTCTCTGTCTGCAAAGTTGCTTTGTGACTCGTGTCTACATGGTGTTGCCTTGATATTGCCACAAATCCTCGATGCAAACGAGGAAATTGAACAAGGTGTCGCCTTTATGTTGCTAATGATTGTCATTAAAGGTAGGGAGCCAGGCAAGAGGGGGGATAGGATTTTCATTTGAAAGGATTTTTATGAAAAAAATGCCAAAATAAACCATTTTTAAAATACAAAAATTTTTTGAACCCCCTCGCTCTTCAAATTACTGGCTATGACCCTGATTGTCATTAAAGGAAATTAAAGCAAACCTAGAATATTTTGGTCCCAAAAGCCACCCCCAAACCATCCACAATCTTAACAAAAATAGTTAACAAAGAAAAAAGTAAACCTATGACTGTAAAATATTGAACATCATTCAATCAGTCGAGCTCAATTCTCCGTACGTACATATTCAGTAAATTGAGTGTCTCGTAAATCAATCAGTCAATCAATCAATCAATCATATCATAAGGTATTCTTTTAATTGTCATCAGAATTAAATCAAATGCCAAAATTGTGTTATTCAATTGATTGTTCCATACAACAGAAAAAATAAATAATAGTCGATGAAAATGTGTTGTTTGCGTTCTGCCTAAAAAATTTATTTGCAAAATGAAAAGAAAATTTATTGACAAATATTTTGAAAATATTTAAAATTGAATATAATTTCATTATCAGTATCGATTTCATGCATGTTTGAGGATTCATAAAAGCTGATTTAATTAATTCATATATAGTCAGATTGTGATGTCAAATGGTGTTTGTGGATATGCATTGATTATTCGGATTATAAGCATGTTTGTGCATTTTTAGGCGCATAATTGAATGCTTTTAACACTGTGGTTGCAATTCTGATGAGGATGTGAGGATATTAAGTTAATGTTCATGCAAATTTGTGTTTAGCAGGAAACTATTCAAAGGACACCAAAAAAATTATTTTTAAATTTTAAAAGGATTTTCGGAATTTTTTTCAATTTTGTTTATTGTTGAAAAATTAAATAAAATGAATTTTTGTGTACAGCTGAAAAATTTACAACATCGACTTAAGGGTCGTTCACTTATGACGTCCATCAAAAAACCTGATTTTTAGAGTCCCTCCCCCCTCTGTCACAAAAATTCTATAGAAAAAATTTCCATTGTTTGAACTGTCACAAAATCCTAGACCCCCTCCCCTCCCTAAATGTTTGACGTCATACAAGAACGGCCCCTTAGTCAGCTGATTTCTTTTTCACAGAGCAAATATCATCCAGATTCTTTATGCAGAATATTTTGCAAATAAACCTGTTAGGGTTTATTCATGAGTAATGTAACCATTTAGGAATAAATTAACTTTCAGACTCGCACAAATTTTTGTTTTGAATTTTTTCTTCAAAAATGTGAATGAAGTGTCACAGAACTAGAGACGTTGTAAGAATTTTTCATTACGGTACGATATGGAGTCAGAGATTAGTTTTCACTAAAACAACCCTAGCCTTTTGAAATATTTTTCTATGAAGTAGGGATTTTAAACCAAACACCCCACTGACTACGCTGTTGCGTGGTCATAGCTTTAGATCACCCAATAAAAACAAAATTAGACACCACAGTTGAATGACTCCTTCAATATACAATCGGATGGAAACAAATGCAATATTTTCATGCTATGAATATTGAGCATTTGACTTTTACATTTAAAATAATAAACTAATCTACATAGTTGTTTTTGTTTCACATTTTATTGCAAGTGAGAATTTTAGATTAAATTATTTTAGTGCACGTTCTTAAAGCAGTGATAGATTTTCGTGAGAAAAATGTAATCAGAACTTAATTGGGGCATTTTTTAAATGACGTCCAACATTTAGGAGAAGGATTTATAGAGTTTTGTGATTATTCAATTAAGGAAATTTATTGTCGGGTTAAAAAATGTGGTTTTTTGATAGCCGTTTGAAGTGATCTACAAAATATTAGATATTAATTAATAATTTGGGGTAGTTCATTAGAAATCCAGCACCAAGTCGGTGTGAATCTGACATGGTGCTGGATTTAAATCGAAGCCAGAGTCACAATGACTTGGTACCGAATTTCTAACCGGCTTGTGCTTTTTGGGAGGAACTTAGTGGAAGAATGTCATAGAAATGGGTTTGAAGTAAACATTTGAATTACAACAGGTCTCAGGCCTTTGCCGTCGAACCTCTAGACAAGTCAGTGGCACAAACTGTTGATCACTGTTCTTTAAGACATATTGTTTGCAACTAATTGTTCTCACAATCTCGAATTACTACTGTTTTGACTCAAAAACTACAAACAACATAAATTGTATCACATGCAAAAAGTACCGCACGTTTAATCAATAATGCACATCCAATCAAAAATTATTTATATACACAAAATCATTAAACGTGTGAAATTCAGCACACACAAAATGCACAAAATAATTTTCCTGATCAATTATAAATAAGTTTTCATTTCAATTGCAGCAATTAATTGTGACCCAAAAGCAATGACATAAGTGATAAAAATGTCTAAATCCAAGAGAAATAACCAAGATGATATGAATAACTTAAATGTTAATCTCAAAGGAGCACTAAATGGTGATAAATTAGGAGATACCGAAATTAACATTCCATTTGCTGATGAAGAGACACCGCAAGTCAAGCATAAAACACAAAATGTTATAAATAGTTCAAATGAAAGCATCAGTAGCAATGACTCAGACACACGAGCACAAATGTACAAAAGATCAATAAGTGCACGAAAGGGTGCTAATCTGAGAATACAGATTGATAATGCATCCTCGAGTGATGACGAAGCTGATAATAAAAGTTTAGAATCAGAAAAACGTGACAAACCAGGTCCGCTGATTTCTGATCTTGTAAAAACAGTTTCTGAAGCACCAGCAGTTGGACTTCGTCGAAATTCATTTTCCATGCCAGCATTAAATGAAATCGACCTTGATGCACTTCGTTCTCTTCATATGCAAGCTGTAGATGACGAACATGATGACGATACTGATGATTTCGATCCAATGAAAAGTAAAGAGTCTCTGTCAGAGATACATGTAAGTAATTTCTTTTATTTTTATGTATACATCTCACATCTCTCGTCATGTGCTTAAAAATTGAATAAAAGGAGAAAATTTGTGTGAAAGGGAAAGCTAGAGGAGATTTTGTGGGTGGTTTAAGGCGCATTTTTCGGTATTCCAACTTGCCATTGTATTGACTTAAATCCCAATCTTAAATACATTCAGTTTAAGCATTTATACAAGAAGCCCAGCCAAACCATTCTGTCTCCTAACTCAACACCATAATCACGAGACTGAATTTTTTTTATAAAAAAATCAAAATATTTACCTCTTTACCTTATCGTCATGTACGATAATATAGCATATGATAAAGCTTATGAGAGCTTGTTTTATTCTTTGTCTTTTCTACCTGTTAACTTGCTTGAGTGATGTCGAAAATTTTTATTGACATAAATTAAATGAAAATGATAAGAAGCTGATGTCGTCGCACACATTAGGTGAATATGAATTGTCACATGTACTTTTTTTATGAGATGAGATTGTCTTTGAAGAGAATATGTTTTATTTTTGCACGGAGGTGTTATTTCTGGGGTCAAAGAGGGGTTATGTATGAGATTATGGAATTTAAGATTAATTTTTTCAATTTTTATTTAAAATTAAATCTTCATTTGTACTAAATCTGCATCATTTTGATAAATTGTAAGTTTATCTAGCGAATTGAATCGAATTTAAATTCCGGCAATCATCAACATTACAAATACATAGGTTGACCATCTGCTTGGTTTTTTAGAGGACAGTCTTCTATTATTTTTCATTTCTCAAAAATAAAATATTTTTGTTTTTTTCTAATTCGTCCAGAGAACGAATAAAATTGGTAGACACGTCGGATGTCCTCTATTTTTTCAAAAAATATCTGGTCACCCTACATATACATGACCACAAAAATCATCAATTTAGTGGAACGAAAATAACGTTATTGCCAGTCAATGAAATAGAAAGTAAAACAAACCACAACGTTTAATAAAAATTTATTGATGATGAATAATAAAAAGTTATGTACGTAATTTGTTTTAACAAACAGCTGGGCTTGTTCAAGTAATTATCGTTTGACAATTATATCGGACTGTGAGACTTGATTTTAAGCTTTCTTACTGTGCTTCTGTAATGTTTTTGAGTTCAATGACCTGACGTTAACTTATGAAGATATTAAATATTTCTTTCAAATTCAAACTTGCACAAAACACATACAAAGATAGTTCAAAGCTTATAGCAAGACTATAGCAAGGACTTAGCCAGGAATAATAAGTTTTGAAGGGGATGACATCAATCATTTTTATCAAAAATTTAACGGGTGGGGATGTATTTTTTGAATTTTTGCTATAAGAACCCTACCAAATAAAAAAATTCTGTTGACGAAGGTGGACTTGTCCACAAATTCACCTCTTCAGCCTCTAAATACGCACCTGGATCATTTGTAGGTTCCGATAAAATGATCTTTTAAAAGGTGTATTTACTAATGATAAGGACGAAATAGGGGTTTAAAATTGCCTCACTGGTTTCTGATCCTTATTGTCATTGATAATTTTTCAAAAATGAATGATCATTTAAGTCATAAAATTCGTAACAGCACTTTTAACTTCAAAACAGTCTCAATAATTTTGCAGACATTTAAGGCGCGTAGAACATTATTTTTTTTCCAATCAGTTTCACTTTCAATTTTGATTCACGCATTTATAATTCCGATTTCTTGTTGTTGTTCACATCTTTGTCCCACGCAACGATAAGAAACTTTTCGGCTTATCAGAAATTCAAAAAATAAACTTATAATTTACTTTTCTCGTGCTGGTTTGTTTACGTTTTAGAAATAAATATTTTGTCAACGAATAAATTGAATTAATTTACTAGAAGTAAAATCAGCTGAAGTTGAAATAATTTGGAATATGTTGAAGTGTTGAGATTCAAGCTTGGAATGATGTAACAAGGTGTGATTTCTAATTCAATACAATTGTATAACAAACCTACATGAAAAACTATAAAGTCTATCAATTTAACAATCAGAAAATTGGCAAGAATTCTAATTTCAACTTATTTAAACACAGAAGCATGTTCAACAAACGTTTTTCTCTCATTCTGCTTTCCAGGTTTAATAATGACAATCAATATTTGCTCATCGTATGTTCACAACTACCATTAATAGATACGATTTACTTATAATAACAATATTATTATACATTTCATGAGCAAAATTATTTAGAGTCGGTCTGATAATTGAATTAAAGTAAAGTAGTAAAAAAAAAGTCCACAATAATATTTCGATACTAATGATCATGATCACAGTTGTGCTTTAACATTCATCGAAGACAGATTTCCGATTTTAAGTGCGAGTTTACATTTTGCTTAACTTGTGTGTGGCTGTAGAGTCAGTATCAAACTCATGTATCGTCAATTATCACTAATGATTTAAGACTTCCATATATTTTTCGGTTAAATCAAAGTGATTTTTATTTTGTGTAGAGAACTTCTGATAAGCATAAAGCTTCTTTAATTCAATAATTTCAATGTTCAGTCAACAAAATTCGCACAGTGTACAATAACAAATAAAAATTGACACACAGTAATTAAATTTCAATCATGTCAAGTGAATCGAATTTGTATCGTACGGAAAATTATCAAAATTACATCAATAGTCTCTATCAGAAGCCCAAACTTGCAAAAAGTATAAGTGATATAGAGTCGAAGGAGATTAAGAAGGCAGATGACGATGCTGATTCAATCAATTCTGTAGCAGAGAGCCTCAACAACTATCTTGATGTTAAAGTGTGTGGTGATAATTTGCTGTATAGATTTCTTATTCATATGATTGATTGTTTTATGATACGACTTAATAGACTTGCACGAATGATAGACAAGAGAATTTTTAGTCGGGGGAATTAGTTTGAGGAGACAGTGTCAGCAGTGATTTTTTTCGTTGTTTTTCAAGTGAAATATTAATTTTGTAGTGTTAAATTTGTCTATTAGTGCAAGCTGTATTTTGATTTCTTTTATTGAATCTGGTTAGAAATCTTCAGAATGGTAACAAAATTTATGCTTTATACCTTCCAAACGATACATATAAGCTTCTTTAAAATTTTATCCAAGCTCAAGCAAGCAAAGACTCGATAATATGGGTTCTATATGTGAGCCATGAGTCTCTGTGCCTTAAAAGAGCTCAAACGCAGGGGATACGATGGATAAGAAGTTGAAAAATCTTAGAATACTTTATATTGTCTTAAATAAAATTAGAAAAACATATTTTAATATTTAAATAATCAATGAAACTAGTAAATATAAATACAGATTATCAAAATGAGTCAAAATTAAATAATGCTTCTGGAGCTTTTCAAACAACTCATACTTAGTAATCAGAATTAAAACATATTGACTTAGTTTTTAATAAAAATGAGCTGCAAAAATTGGAGGGTGTCAACCATTTGCGTCGATTGCAAATGATTTCCTTTGATTGCTTGTATTTCTTGAGATCGCTTCTCCCAAAATTCTTCTAAAGGCCCTGATACTAGTCTGGATGCGTCCCCAAAGTCTTTCTTAAATGACGTTCACCTTTCAAGTTCCATCAAGTGTTGATCAGAAATATCTGACATTTTAAACAAGAGTTTTGTAAATAAACCTTTACAAAAAACAGTATCAAGCCACACGATTGCCTTGCATGCAAAAAATACTGCTTCAAATTCAAATAAATTAGCAAGCACACCACAACAAATAATTATCACATTACTAATCAATATAAACTTCTGATTTTAATTAATTGTTCAACACCCTGAGATTTTATCTTCCTTTATATTAATCCATAAACATTAATTTCAGGTCCTTGACGATGGAGCATCGATGGTGTGCAGCATCGCTGAGCCGGAAAGTGAAAAGGAAAACAAGAAAACAGATGACAGCGATAGTGACTCAGATCATCCAATGGTGTAAGTTTAATGACATTTTATTCTTATCAGCGGAACTACCCATGTCATTCATGTCGTCACAAATCATATTCGCTTCAAATGCCGAAAATGTCTTGCTAAGAATGATAACAATTCGGAAATTATTGTTATTGATAATGAATTATTAAGTACTTTACTTTAGTCTGCAAAAATCAATCGGTGTGAAAAAGCTATAAAAACTTATTAAATGGAAAATATTAATGAGTATAAAGAGAGTGACGATGACGATTATTCGAGCAGCTGTGATTCCCAGAATTCAAAAGATATAAAATTAAAAACACGGTAAATCCACTTCAAACCGATTTTTTTTACAACTCTAGTCATGCGTTTGCCTTGCTGCACATTTCATATTATTTGTTTGTCGCTCACTTTTCTCTCAATTTGTGGCAGGCAATTCAAAAGTCAATTTCATAATTTTTTTTTTATTAAATAAAATCCACAAGTTGACATTGCTCATATTCTCACAAGTTACTCACAACTCTCAGCTTTATTTTTTTTTTTAATTTTATTTATATTTGTATGTTGAACTTTTATCTTGAGTCTCAGTCTTGAATTACTCTCAGCGCTGACTCATTATCAGTAGCTTAAAATTAAATTATTATTTATTTGGTGACAAATATTAATTGTGCAGGTACTTAAATGAAAACATTATTAATTGCTACTTTTTTGGGGTATATTGGTGCAATGTTCAGTCAATTGACTTTTCCAACTACGTCAAAAGTCTCGTGATTATAACGGAGCTATCTACATACGTCACAAGGCATACGAGAAATGTAAAGAAAAAATAAAACTTCAATGAGGAATTTTTTTAATTAATTAAGTGAACTTAATAAATTTAGAAAGTTGATATTCTAAGTGTTTGGAGGAAGTTTCTGCTGTTTAAGATATGATAAATTAATTAATGCATTATGACAGCTCTTGGTTGCCTGCAGAAATTTTTGAGAAATGGGAAAAGAAAGACCTTGAAGTGATTTTGCTGAAATTATCTTTTTTTGGCAAGAGTTGTCAGATATGTGCTTAGCTGTATCATAATGTTGCTATATGTATAGATTTTGCATTGGCAGAACTTAGTCTTAGGCACACCAAGAAAAAGTTAACGATATTTGTCTAGAATTTAAAGGTTCTAAGGTCTAAGGTCCAGCTTTGGATAGACATACCTAAGCATATATGATGAGGCTTGAGATATGGGTAGCAAGCCTGCTATTTAACAGATTTATGAATTTGGTAGGAAATTTATAGTTTATAACTCTAAATTTATGATAAATCTTTTGACTTTTAGTCTAAAAGTTTATAGGAACCCACAGCCTTAGGCCGACCATCTGCTTGGTTTTTTAGAGGACATTCCTGTATTTTTTCATTTTTCAAAAATAAAATCAAATTAAAATAGTTTTGTTTTGTTCTAATTCGTCCAGAAAACGAATAAAATTGGTAGGCACGCTGGATGTTCTCTATTTTACTTTCAGTTCCTCTATTTTTTCAAAAAACTATCCGTCGCCCTTCTCACAGGTCATTCGCATTTACTCATAAATTTGAAAAACTTTAAGTACTTAATTGATCGCATTAATGAATTTAATTAAATTAACTCAAAAATGTAAAAAAGCATGCAATCATCCCCCAAACGACTGTCGCAATATTGGACTTATTACTCTAAATGGAAGCACAATTTTATAGCTTGAATAGATTTTTCAGTCGTAAATAATAAAATATTTTTATTGACTATGAAAATTTGTCAGAGTGAGAAAATAAGCTCCATAAAAAAATTTTATGTGCATTTAAAAAATGTCAAATTATGGAAATTGACTTTGATAATCAATGCTTGATTTAAGCAGTATTGAAATAATTTTTTTTATAGTTTGTGAACATAAATTTTGAGTATTATCTAGATTGTAATAAATGTTTTTGGTGAAAATTTCAGAGAATCATTTGAAGCTTGAAGAAAATTTGAAGTTCTCATATTTTAGAGACTAAAATTCATCAAAACTATAATTAAATTAATAGAATTCTAATGTAATTAAAAGCACCACATATTCTCTTTATCACAGCATGTGCTCGTGTTGTATTTAATAGCTTATTGCGCAATAATGAACAATTATCTATTTGCCTTCACTAATTAGGTATCAACAATAATAAATATTTATTTAGTAATGCACAATAATTAGATATTGAAGAAAATGTTCATTACCAAATAGATAAGAAGCTTTATGTTTGATGTCGGTTTTGTATTAAAAGTAACCAATTTTAGACAAAAACCCTTGCTACTGACTGAATCTTAAAGCTTTAATGGCACTAGATGTAATATAAAGACCAAAATTTCTCAAAAAAAAATCCAAAGCACATAAATACATTCATGTGACGGAAGTAAGTTATTCTCTTAATAGAAGTCTCATCGTACACATAAAAAAGTACATCCATACGAGTACGTGAAAAAATTATTTTATAAGATGAAAATCTTCTTATCATCAATATCTCCAGCATAGACATTTGCACACATACATCTCATTTGTACACAAAAGTATATCCATTTAAAGAGAAAAGTAAAAAATAAGATTTACGATCATAATAAATTGACGAATAAAAAAACTCTCGCGCTCATTTCCTTACAGATCACGCTCAAAATTTCGCACGAGACGTCGTGGCTCAATCGCTCCATTACCCGCTATTCGTCTCAATGATAAAGAAATCATGGCAAATGCCGAGTATGATGTTCAGAGTATGATAAGTGCTGCACCGTCAATAACATCGGTCAGCTCACTCGCTAGCTTATTAAAGGAAAAAATGCAGGTAAGAGTTGTGTCTCTGGGTGGAATCTGAAGAAGCTTTGAGGAATCTTCAGTGTGAAAAATGCTGTGACAAGTATAAAGCCTCAAAATCTTGCTGGTTCCTCATTTTCTCCTGTTAATTACTTAATTTAATAAAAATTAATTAATTTAATCATTTCAGGGAATTCCATCAATGCTCCGCAAGAGGAAGAAGCCAAAAGATTATAAAATTCGCATTTTTACAGCACTCTTGTTCCTTATGATAATTTTTCTAGTAAGTAGCGTCATAAGATGCCTCAATTTTCTAATTTATTTTCGCATCACTTGATAAGTCACATTTTTCTCATTTATATTTGCAGGTCGGTTATGCCTATGTGATGTATAATCATAAAGTTACATCAAAAATGTATTTTGAGCATATAAAATTCAGCAGTGGCAAACGTCAACTCTTTGTATCCGATACAAATGGCAGTAATGTGCTGAGCGGTAGTCTAGGCACAACAATTCACATTCCAAAAGCTTATTTATGTCGCGACATTGTGACGGATGAGAAAGAGAATGTCTGTTGGGAATGGTCAAAATTGGCAAAACTGCATATTAGTCTAGACAAAAAATTTCGTGGAAATAGCTCGCCAAAAGAGTATCCAACGTCAAGATGCTACAATTTTCGATGGGAATCATTGAGTGAGAATTTTCATCCAACAGATTGCTTTAAAATTGGCTCCGATCTAGGTCAATGGTATGGTGGTGGTGTTACGAAAAATGCTGAATGGCTATTGGAGAAAAATGCATTTAATTTTACGCCATTTATAACCGGTGATGTGAGACACCATGAATGGGGAAATGCATTGAACAGATACTTTATTAATTCTCTCGGTATTGCAATCGAAGTTGATGAAAAGACACCGCTGCACATTAGCATTAATCCAACGAATAATTCACAACTATGCATCAAGTCAGAATATGATGATTTTGCTTATAACAATCATCCAACAACACTTCCTGTCCTCGAGTATCGAATTTGTACTGCAAATGATATGAAAATCCTACATCATAATTTAACACAAAAACACCTGTGGGATGGACTTAAGCAACAGGAAATTGACCTTATCAAAGCAATTTTTGATGAACCTGTATGGGAAGTTTCGGGCGATCTCTCTGATGTTGCCATTTCAAATGTAACAGACTCAATTATTGCTTTAGGATATTTTCGACTCGGTCATGTTCTATTAAACGAACAATGGCAACGATATGTCGGTGACTTTGAGGTCGATGAGGAACGTTTTACAGCACTTGATGATATAATTAATGTCTTACACAGACGTGGCTTTAGAATTTCACTAACAATTCAGCCATTCGTGTCAACAGAGAGTAAGACATTTGCTGAGTTAGTACAAAAGAAATTGCTGATCTATGAACGCTCGACTGACCGTACCATACCTGCATTAACGAAATTCAAAAGCTCACGTAGTGATGGTGTCCTTGATATCACAAATAATGAGACGATTCCATGGCTATTGAACAAGCTTGAGATTGTCAAGAAGAAATATCAAATTGACTCATTCTATTTAGAGTTTGGGAATGCATATGATATGCCAAAGTTTTATGATAGTAGTGAAGCATTGCTAAATCCCGATCAATATAAAAGCATATTTATGGATAACATAACAAGCTCATTAACTCTGCTTGGCGTATCTGGTGCAATATCGGTTCCAAGGCCACCAGCATTTCTAAGCTTACCACAAGTTAATTCTACATGGCATGGATTAAAGACAGTACTAACGAGCATCATTAATTATGGTATCATCGGATATCCATTTCTTATGCCAAATGCTGTTGGCGGTGATTTTATAGTCGAACAGAATGGCTCGAATTTACCCGAACTGGAACTTTATATACGATGGCTACAGCTTGCCACGTTCTTGCCAGTCTTAAGATTTAAATATCTTCCGTCAGATTATAAGAATGAGAATTTGACGGAAATCGCAAAGGATTTGGCATTAATAAGACAGAAGACAGTGAAGCAAGTCTATGAAAAATATTTAAATGACGCAATGAATGAAGGATTACCGCTTGTTCGTCCTTTATGGATGTTGGATCCGAGCGATGCTGCCTGCATGTCTGTTGTTGATGAGTTTTCTGTTGGTGAACAAATTATTGTAGCTCCAATTATTGAAAAGGGTGTTACGACTAGGGAAGGTGAGTTTGTTATGGAATTATTTTAATTTTAAGTTAAGTGACACGACGGGTTGCATACTTTGAGTGGGATGGGATTTTAAAAATGAAATTTTAGACACTCATTCGAGTAGTGTAAATTCAAACTTAATTGATTTTTCTTTGATATTCTCAGTTTATTTACCTGAAGGAGTATGGAAAGATGGAATTGATGGCTCGCTTCGTAAAGGAAGTCGTTGGATCCACAACTATCGTGTGATGGAAAATCAAATAGCATATTTCGTAAAAATGCCCGATAATACGAGATTTTAGTGAAGTAGCAAAAGATTTTGAAGTGATTTGAAATTATTGTGGATAATTTTTAAATCCAGCAAATCTTTTAATTCAAGAGACAGATGGATCAAGTGCCAGTATTTGTTTAGTTTAAGTAGAATAGAAAACAATATTAAATTAATAATGCCCTACCATAAAAGATTATTGCCTACCAAAATATTCATATTATATTTTTATTCCTATATTTTAAAATCTTCTGAAACTTGAATGCTAAGAGTTGTGTGAAGAAATGCTGTAAATATTTTTAAAATTCTTAGAGTGAAAAAATTTCGAAATATTATGTAAAATATGTTAAGCAGTTATATTTGCAATTATAATAAAATAAATGAAAATAAATTCAGTGTCTATGCCTTGACTTTTTGAGAACGAATTCTTTAATTTATAAAATGTACCAAGTTTAACCTTTTTGCTCACTTACGTTTTTTCCTTATCAAATCAATATGACTTAATCTCTCTTGTTTTGATTCAAATTTTTGTTTATACCTTTCAGTTAAGAATAGACAATTGTAGAAGAAGCATGAAATATTTTATTATTTTAATATTGTCATTTTCAATTCTAAATTTCGTCCATTGCGATGATATTTGGCAGTGTAGTGATATTGAGAGTCCTGACACACAAGCAACGTTCAAAGAATTAGGATGTTACAGTAAGTTCTGATGAATTTTAAATGTAGATTTATTTATTTTTTACAAAAGTTTATTAATACTTTAAATTTTACCATTTGTGACTGAATTTTAATTTTAATTTCATTCAAAGCTGATAATACAAATTTGATTGTAAAAAAGTTTTACTATCCTCGATACTTCAGATCAAATTGGATAGAAGCACAAATGATTTGTAAATCATATGATATGGAATTGGCAAGATTTGAGTCAATTGATGAAGTAAATGATGTTTTTGCATTCTTGAAGAATAGTAGTGATAATGTGTTCCGAGACGGTTACTGGATGTTTGTTGGTGGAATCACATCAACGCCTGGTTCAGTTACTAGTTGGTATTGGACTCAAACTGGAGTAAAAGTGTCTTTTGATATTCCGTGGGCAACATCAAATCCATCTGGTGGACATGAACAATGTTTGAGCATTGGAAAACACGGTTTTGGTTATCCTTTGTCTTTTAATGATGTTCCTTATGAAGGCTATAAAAATATCTTTTTGTGTCAAAAAACAAAAATTAAATATCAATAAATAGATAAAACTTTCAATTAAACACATGATTGAAATTTCATATTAATATAATTTGAGTCTTTGCATATGAAAATGATGAAACTATGAATTATATCCAAACTAAAAGTTCAAAGGTATTTGTAAGATCTCCCTATAACTTCCATATGTGGATACTAATGTAAAACAAGCCGGATTCGATGGGAATCAGTTAAGTGCCTGGTCGAATAGGTAGGGCGCTTGGCTCAAATTTGGGATGGTAACTCGAAGGTCGTCGGTTCGAATCCAGCCATTTCCAAATTTGTTCTTTTTCGGAAGTTTAGATACTTCGACTGCTTAATGTGTGATATCAAGCCATAATTGGGCATTTTGGAAATATTGGATTAAGGAACGGACCAGGAATTTGAAATGTAGCGTGGGGAATAGAAACTAGAGCTACAAGATTGCCTTATAAATGGAATATTCTTAGAATGGACCTGAAAAGTATCACGTCACGCCCACAGCAGATCGAAACGAGAGCCTTAGTTTATTTGAAACCTAGATATGAAGATTAGAAGTTTGATCCTACATAATGTTAATTCATATATATATACAAATATAAAAGTGTAAATGTGAATTATTACCGGACAGTATGTCGTCAATAAATGCAATAAAGAGCAATTAAAATAAAAAAAAAAATCAAACCCACGACCTCAAAAGAGGCGATCTCTATCCACTCGATCAGAGATCCCTGCCACTCAGGCATTGTAGCGGGATTGTTTAATCCTTACTCATCAACTTCCTAGCGTAATCCTATCACTTAAGTGTAATACTTTAAGTTTCTTAGAGCTCATATTGAGAACAGTTTGTTGAAGTAATAACAAACTTTGTACACAAAACATTTTATAGCTAATTGTTTAATGTTTAAAAGTCATTGTACAATAAACAATATGAATAATCAGTTCGTTTGTGAAACATGTCCGAACCCCTCTATGTGAATATTCCTTTCGTCTTTCTTGTAAATTATGTTAGATCAAGATATGCAAATATATTTTTAAAAATAATCACAACTGACGTCACTTGGTGATGAAATTTTTAATAGAACTTGTTTTTTTATATTTTCTTGAAACCATTTTAAACATTCACTGGTTGAGATTATAAGGCATTTAAATGTTTTATAATTTTCAATTAATAACTTCAGTCGAAACTAAAACATCGTAGAAGGCAGACATGAAGCTTCTGTTGCTTTTCATAGTGCTTTTAAATTTTTATTCCTTTTGTGAGTCGCGTTTAACTGAAAATCTAAAAGTTGGAATTAATGATGGACAAATTATTGGACGACACATGTTAACAATTACTGGAAAAGATGTTCGCTCATTTCTTGGTATTCCTTATGCTGCTCCCCCCGTTGGGGAATTGAGATTTAAGGCACCAAGAAAACCAACTCCATGGTTTAATGACGTATTAAAAGCACACAACGAGCCACCAGTGTGTTCTCAAACAAATATTTTTGATCGCGGTGTGGAACAAGTTTTCGGTCAAGAAGATTGTTTGTATTTGAATGTTTATACTCCTAAAGTAAGTGTTTTGCATCTGTAGAAGCAACTGTGCCTATTTTAAAATATGATTACAGATAAATGTGTCCGATGAAGGTTTTCAGAAATTACCAGTAATGGTTTGGTTTCATGGAGGGGTTCGTACTTGGTGAATTACTTTGTAATATTTTATAATAATAAATCTTGATTGCCTATTTAGGGATGGACAGAATTTCATTCAGGTCACAGCGTTTATGGTCCAGGATATCTTTTAGATCACGACATAATTCTAGTAACTGGAAACTATCGATTAGGAACATTAGGTTTTCTATCAACAGAAGATGAACAATGCCCAGGAAATTTTGGTTTTAAGGATCAGCGCATGATGCTTGAGTGGGTTCAAGAAAATATTGAGAAATTTGGTGGAGATAAGGATTCTGTGACTATTTTTGGTGAAAGTGCAGGTAAATAAATATAAAGGTTATAAAAAAGATTAGAATCGCGACTACTTCGAAACACTTTTCAGGTGGTGCAATAGTCACATTACTCATGAATACTCCAAAGTCTCAAAAGTTATTCCATCGTGTAATTGCACAATCAGGAAATATGATGAATGTTTGGAGTGAACCGCTTAGAACGGGTTTAGCAAACGAGAGAGCAACAAAATTAGCTGACATGATGGACTGTCCTTGTACATCTACAACAAAAGAAATGATTGAATGTCTAAGAAAAGTTCCAGCTAATAAAATCACTGCAGCTGTACGAAATTTTATGGTATATAGTTTTAAAACCTATTCAATCTTGAAGATAATTATTGATATTCTTTAATAGATTTGGGATTATGATCCTGTCATACCATTTGGAGCAGTCGTAGAAAACTGTGGACCTGAAGAGGAGCGTTTCATTGTTGAATCTAACCTTGACAAACCTTCATTCAATATTCCATTGCTGACTGGTGTAAACAGTGAAGAAATGATATTCAAAACAGCTGGTAAGTTTCATTGACCAAATTATTTATCATATAGGCACACTGGTCTAATTTTAAAAAAAAGGGGAAATGAGGTGTTTTTGGAAAAGTTTCACGATAAGTCTTCGGGGATGTCTCATTTTAAAGCTGACATTGATACACGATGATTTCTAAAGTTTGAAGTTTTTTCGTCCATCTGGTGCTGAGTAGCAGGTCCTCAAAGTTGGGAATAGGCGAATTTTCTGTTTTTTGAGATTCTTTATTCAAACTCAATTTGCTCGATAACTACTCAACCAAATGAAAAATGATTTTTGGTTCCTAAAAGCACAAAATAGGACCTATATCCTGAAATATCCCACTCTTTGAAAAATTTCTATCAATTGGAGTAGTGGCAGATTTAGTATGAAAAAATAGGGGAAAATCCCTCTACAAAAGTTCGTGAATGCCGCAAACTACCTGAATTAAGATCTAGCCTATTAAATTTACCTTTATTAAATAGTCCAAACCTTCATCTTTCTAAATTGGTATCTCATTATACCCAGAGATTGCACTTTTTGGAGTTATAGTCAATGAAAGTTGGCCAAAATGCAAAATTTAAAAAAAATTATATCTCGAAAACCATTCAAAAAATCAACTTTTGCTCTAAACAAGCTTAAACTTGAAGTTTTTGATTTAATACTTGATTGTTGGGCTATTTATGATTGATTTTTAAAAAACTTTTTCAAAAAAATTGTATTTTGGGGACTCTATGATGGTTATCGACTTGACCCTTTCTTCCATCACTTAAGCTGCTTTAACTTTTTTTAGAGCAAATATTTTTCAAATCGGTTTTTGATTTATTGTACTTCAATGTAATACCTTTCTAACGATATGCAATACTCTACACTAAAGTCAGTCTTTGCCACAAATATTGCCTTTGCTTGTGACCGACGCTAATTTGAACAACCTTAAAAACCGCATTTCGAAGCGGTAGGGTTTGAAGTCGATAGGGTTTGAGTCTACTCGAGTCAACTTGCCACGACTTCGAGCTCTGATTGGCACACAGCATACACGCCAATTTGTTGTATAATTAATCCAAATTTCCCTGCACTAGATCACATCATAACCACTAGATTTATCTGTTTTTCTTGTTGAACAATAAGTTGAATTTTTGATTTCAAGAATTAATTTGCAAAATGTCTCAAAAAATTATGTTTAAATTTATTTTAGGTATTTTAAGCAATCAAAAGTTATCAAATGACATACTGCAAAAATGGGAGACAATATTCCCAATCACATTTCACTATGATCATCTCCCAGAGCATCAAATTAAAGAAATTAACACAGCGGTTTATGATTTTTATTTTAAATCCGGGCTTCTTGGAGGAAACTTAACAACGGTACATAAAAAATTTGTTTTATTTGAATGAAGAAATCGATTTAGAACTTTGATTATTTTTTTAATGAGCGATAATATTCAACAAAATCTAATTTCAGTTGTGGTCTGATGGATGGTTTGTCAATGGATTTATTGATTATCTACATCAGCGATTAAAAAGCAACAATCAAGACAATACATATGTTTACTTATTTTCACATAAAGGATCAATTAGCTTCTCTGAAGTTTTTGGCGGTGATCCAGAGAAATATTACGGAACTTCACATTTAGATGATTTGCTTTACTTGTTCCCGATACGAAACGCATTTCCACATTTCTACAATTCGATTCCAACAGTTGAGGATGAGAGATTGAGAAAAATAATGACAAGTTTATGGGTTAATTTTGCAAAAACTGGGTAAGTTTTAAAGATTGAAATTACATTTCAAAACTTATTAAAATTACAAACTCAAATGCATTAATCAATTTTTTTCAAACCTATAGAAATCCAACACCTGATTTGAGCAAGAAAACTGATCTCTCTTCATGGTCTCCAGCTACTAAGTTTCCATTAGATTACATGCGAATTGGAAATGAAAATGGAAATTCTGATAAACTTCTTGAAATGAAAAAGGATCTTTTTGCCAAAAACACACAATTTTGGATAAAACTTCGTGAAAAATATGGACTAAGACTATGGAAAAATGAAGATTAACTACAATAAGTTTACACATTGTACGTCAAACTTAGTTCAAAAACTAAAGACAGTAACAAATTTGATCAAATAAATAAATTTCTTACAATTTTTTTGAATCCTTTAATTTCAAGTCTAAAAGACATTTTATTTATTATGAACATCCTGACAAATTTATTACAGATGAACTCATTTAATTTTCAGTTTCCTACGTAAACGCCTCCATTATCAATTTTCGGCTTATTCAAGTCCTCATCTTTTGCAAACATAGCCGCATTATTTGCATAATTCGACTGAGCCACTTTTGGACGACAAAATTTGCAAAATTTATAGCATGTAATGCGTATATACGATGTGAAGAGAATCGTCTCGCTGAGAAATGTGTATAAGAAGGGATTTGCCATAGAATTCATAATTCCACTAATACAAAATGCGTAATTGAGCAACCAAATTGCTCTTTCCGTTGGAACAAAATTGTACAATTTGTATAGCAAAAATATCCAATTTGGCAATCGTAGAACGATAAATACACACATGAGTGCTAGAATGACTTTAAACATTCGCATCTGTCGACGTTGTCGTTCATTACGGCGATCATTGTTGTGCATTTGGTGCTGATGTGAATGTGGCTGCTGTTGTTGGATTTGTGTGCTAAAAATTTGTGGCTGCTGCTGTGAGATTGTAACCGTGCCAGATTTAGAATCTGTAGATGTGTCCTTACTCCGACCGCTATTATTTCGTAGGCCTGTGGAATTTGTGTTGCTCGAATTTTTCACTTCCGTTGTTGACGACGATGAATCTTCATAGTTTCTAGTAGGCTTAATGCATCTACTTCCTGGCGTCTTCCGCTTTTTCCAAATTTCTCTCGCAATTATTGCATTGAATGCGATAAATGCGACAAGCATTGGCAAGAATACGAAGATGAATAGTACGCTGTAGTAATAGCGTGATTCATCCTGTCAATGGACAATTTAAAAATGGCAATTGATTATTGATAATTACAATGAATATCTTACCTTACTGTCAACAATGCAGTAATGTGCCAAATAAAAATTCTCTTGAATATCTGGCACAACATAGACATCAAATAGTGAATAGCTGAATAGCATTGGACTACTTAATGCAGCACTGATTGACCATACAAATGTAAATCCAATTGCGCAAAATTTAAATCCCGGTTGCCATTGTCCTTTGCGTTTTACAAATATCGCCATGTATCGGTCGACTGCAATAGACACTAATGACATGCTGCCGCTTAAAAGTGATGTTGTTTGGAAAAACGGGAGGAAGCTGCATAGAAATTCACCTAAGTACTGGAGGTTGTAAACATATAAACATTTTTAATATCCATAAAGTATCCCCTCCCCTGTCAAACAGCCACAAAACATAATTTTAATAATTAAATAGTCATTGAACTCACCCACAATGCAGACATTTCATGATGCAATTTAGAAATGTAATTTGCTCCGCACGTTGTTGCATATATCAAATCACTTAATGCCAATGACAACAGACATGTTTTAAACAATAAGCGTTGTTTTCTGTTAGACATATAAACAAAATGAGAAATTACAATTTCTGTGAAAATTTCTACTGACACCCACAGTCAAAAATCATTGAAGTCAAATAATTAGATGGAAAATATTTTGGTATGATCGAGACAATTATTAGTGATGGATTTGATTTTAGCCTAGGCGGTAATCAAGCAATTATGTTTTTAGGCAATTTCGGAGATCATTTATAGATTTATAGTTCGAAATAATTCAATTCTAATAATTTTTGTTGTCAAGAAACTGATTTGAACCTCCTTTCTAGTTTATGCCTCACAACATCCATAACTGTTCCACTTCTAAACATTAAACATCATTTAAGAACAACTTCTTAGCTGCACACAGATTGTCGATCCTATATAGTCTTAATAATTCAAAGTATTTCACGAAAATCATCATTATTAAATGGAAACGACAAGAATATCAACTGTAGAATTCTTTTGCAAATTTTCCGAGAATTTTACATCTAGAAAGAATCACGAAGAAAGTCACACAAGCGAGAAAATTCATGATTTCCACCCCCAACTTCACTGGTATTTTTACTGTATAATTCATTAGAATTTTTAAGAAAATCTACGTCTCCAAAAAAAAGCTTCTCATCAAATATAAATGCCTCATCATAAATTTAACACGACAAAAAAAATCTCAAACCTCGTGATGACAACGTAAAGTGTCAGTATATTTCCAATAATGGCAATGGTTGTAACAGCATAAAAAATAATAACCAAAGCAATACGTTCATGATAATAAATCTGCTTCAGTTTATATTCCCACTCTGTGTAATATTGTTGCACATCAACAATAACTTCCAATTCAGTATCACTACTTTGCTGTACGGCAATTCTTCCACTATCACCGCCATTATGAACACTCAAATGCGATAAATTAAGCATGGTTCACTGGCGAAACAATTAATTCCTTTATGTTGCTATAGTGCTGATTTCAATAGAATAAACTCAACCTATATTATGTGGAGTTCTGCTCGTAGGAGCTTAAAGCTTTCGACTAAATTGATTTTTCATTGTTATCGAACTTTTATAATTGCAGATGAGGTGGCAAGTTTTACATCATTCAATTAATCATTTAGTAAGTAAATAAAACATGACCGAGTAATTCAATACGAATTAGTGTGGGGAGGTGTCACTTGAAGTCATTTTCGGAATGATCTTATTGCTTAAAGCTATGCAGAACTTTAAGTTCTGCTAAATAAACGCAGGAATCAGTATCCTTTGGATTTAAGAGTATTTTAAAGTTTAACTTACATTTGCTTCTATAAACATGGCCAAAAATGTTGATCTAAGCAGAAACGTAACCAAACAATGGCGGGAACACCGAAAAATTACTGACTTGCTTTGCTTAATGTAATAAATTCCATTCACTGCTGCATTCACTTACTTCCTTTCCAGCGTTGCCTTAAAATCTTTCACGCAAAGTTATGCAACTCGGGACTAACCACACATTACATTCCATCCAGCTTGTACTCATTTACACACGAAAGAAAATTTAATTAAATCTCATACGAATTTTGTTCTGTAAACATTAATAATGTCCTAACATGCATGTTATTTTAACCCGTAGATATTTTTCTGAATAGTGTATGATTGTACATTATCAATAACAATATCAGCGAGTTTCTCGTTATTAAATTATGCTATTGTAATGCTGAAATCCATTAGTGATTTGTAGTTTTGTATAAAAGTGGCAAAATTAGTGCTAAACTAGGGAAAATAATTGATTTGTCATCTTGATATTGCATGTTGATGATGTTTTGGATATAAATAGGCTGGATATGGAATAATAAAATTGAAAATTTTGGAATATTGAATATGTGTTAATGTTGTGACTGAGAAGAATGGATTTTGAGGTATTGATCCATATAAAGATGAATCTGCCAGTGTGAGAGTCAAGATTCTTTGGTTGAGTGGATAGGCATCAGCTCGGATATCTATTAACTTCAATTTTAAGCATGTGGGTTCAATTCTCACGAGCGGCTGATTTGTTCATTACCACATATAATTACAAAGAGTTTTATCGATATGATCAGAATGAGAAGCGCAATGCTCATGACATTCCAGTTAATTGTTGAAAGTAATTAAGATTTTTAAAACTGAAATTTAAATTGTAAATAAATTGACTGAAAAATTGGAGGTGTGAGGTAAAAATGGGGCTTTGAATAAATCTTATTGAATTTTAAATTTATCAATTACAGTTTTTAGTATGTGCCTCTCTGATCCTACCTAGGCTACACACCTATGGCTACATAAACATTTAAATCGCAATTAATCCACAAATAAATTTTTTTCGTTCTTAAAAGTTTTCAAAAAGTTGAAATAAAAACTTTCACATCAAAAATACCAAATCTATTCTCATTGTCCCAAATTTTTGCCCCACAAAAGAAAAAATCCATTAATTCTCAGACAACAAGCCAATGAAGCTTATCCCATTTTTCAATCAAAAAAATTTTTTTCATTAAAGTTTTTCAATTTTCATCACACGAAATAAAACAATTTCTGGAATCATTTAATGAAAATCCACTTGACATGAAAATCGATTTCAATCTTTTTTTTTCTCTGCGTAGAGTCAAGTCAATATCCAATAGCGTTGAAAAAAAAATGTCACTTGAACTGTGATAATATTGATAAAAGAGTTTCAGGAGGGAAATTTTCCCACGATTTAACAAAAAAAAATCCAATTTGTGGTAACTATTGAGTTGAATGGGATTTATTTTAGATTGTTAAGTATCTAATGGATAAGGCTAAGTCGGTGATATTAAACGTTGAGCTTTTAAATATCAAATTAGGGTTATGAGGCAATTCTAAGCTCTACTTGTCATCCATTTGCCTCCAAAGATGTTAAGAAGTACCTAAGTTCTCCAAACGACCACCACAGACAATATTTTAAATGTTCCCACCTGAAAAGTCATCAACCCTTGCTTCCAATCTCAACATCATGTTAAACGATATTTTTTTCTCTGTTCCTACACATTCAATATTAGCTTTTCATTCAGTTCTGATTATTTTCTTCCTATTCACGCAAAAAAAAGTACGTTTCTAGTTGGAATAGGAAAGAAATGGTTCACAATATTGATTTATTTTGCAATCACAGCAATTCTATAGACTTCAAAATTAATTTCGCTGATATACAAAAAAATGTGAGTCGCTTTGACGAGGATGTATTAGATGCAAGCTTTGTTATCGTGTGGGAAACTGCAGTTATGCCGCTTTCAAAGGGCGAAAGAATTTTGTTTTTTGTTCTTACCACTATCATCTGTACGGTCGCATATTTGGGGAATGTTTTGGTCCTTTATGTGAATTTTACCAGGTGAGATAATTGAAAATTGAGAGAGAAGCAGCAGAAACTGTAGTTTTGTAGCTTTTTTTCAGTCGAGGACAATGCATGAAATTCATTTTTCGTTTTACTTTTTTTTTTCTAATTTAGGAAACAGAGATTGCTCTTCCGTACTTGCTTAATATCACTTGCCGTCAGTGATATAATGTATGTGCAAGTTACTTCTGTAGTTTATTTACCGAGATTGTTTATTTCGCAATCAGCTCTGTGGGTGAGTTTGCTGGAATAAAAACTGGTCACTGAAATATTTTATAGCTAGAGTTTAAAGTATGCATTTTCGATTTGGTGCTGTTTATATTGAAAAAGAGCACTGCATAAAGTTCATTTTGACTTACTTGAATTTAAAATGCTATGCATGTGACTGTCAATTGGAAAGTAACCTTAAAATAAGTGGAAGATCTCGGTAATGACTGTCTAGTGGCTGCTGTTTGATTCTAGGTACACAATCCTATTGACAGTCGTCTAGTTAACATTCTTCAATGTTTGGTTAGCTATGTGCGTAGCCTGATTAAGAAAAAATTCAAAAGTCCTATAACTTAACCCCAAATCTAATTCACATTGCACTGGTTACAATTTTTAAATACCAAAAATCCAACAAAACTGCTCTCTAGCCACAATAATTCTACTCTAAATTCCCATAGGTTCTTGGATCGTTGGCATGTGCAGTACTTCCATTCTTGCAAACGTTAGCAATTTTAGTCAACAGCATATTGCTTGTATGTATTGCAATGGATCGTTATATGGCTGTTGTAAGAATAGCAAAAAGTCAATGGGAACCAGGAAAATTATTTTGTTTCACCTGTTGTGTTCTCATATGGGGAATGGCTGCTGGCATTTCATCGCCAATGATTGCAATTTATCAGTTCTACAAGTTGTATGTAGTACCACTTCCTAAAGATGAAGATGAGGAACTTACTTACTATATTGGAAATATATGTGCCAGCAGTAAGGTAGAGTATAGACATTTATTGTAAAAAAATATTAATTATTAGCATTTGTTCTGGTTTCCAGGATCAAAATTCGTATTTCTTCTCAATCATTTTCTCATTTATATTCGTACCACTCGTAATAACCTTTATATGGATGAATACGGTCGTCGCACGAGAGATTTGGAACCGTCGACATCAGAACAACAAAGTTGTAGCATCAAATCCTACAAATTCTATGCCATCGATGCCTTCATCCATTCCATCTTCAAATGTAAACAGTCAATCGAGTACGACATTGAATGAAATGCCAACGGGATGTTCTGAAAGGAAGCAACGTCAAGAACGATTATTCAGAGTAATTCTGTTGTTGATGTCTATTTTCTTCATATGCCGCTTACCAACGTGGATGTATCTAATTTATCAACTCAACTCTATGTCTACAGACCATTATTATTGGCATTTATATTTTTCGTTTGGAAATCTCGCGCTTCTGAATTGTGCACTTAATCCATACCTATATTCATTCATGAGTGAAACTATTAAGGTTTTTTCGTTTTTGGGCAACATCATTCGAAGCTTGTTTTATTCAGTTTGTAATTTCTTCCATAAAAAACAATAAAAAAAATAAACTTTCTGGTTGACAACATTTTTTTTAGTAAGCACATTATAATGACATTTGTATTACAAGAGCGCAATAAATTTTATCAAACCAAAAAAAAAATATTTATATAAAGAAGAGGAGGAGAGGGTAACAGAGATGTAAATGTGTAAATGTGACAAAAAGTATTAATGTACGATAAAAAATAAAATATCTATTAATAATGATGTTGGTATGATAATATTTTAATAATAATAATGTGTGCTTTAAAGATTTATAACATTTATATTATGAATGTATACGTTTTATACACGAAAAATACTGTTGTATAAATTATTAGCTCTCTTGTGGAAAGTTTTATCAGAATTGGATGAATTTTTCCGATTTTTCATTGATAAGATAAGGTGTCATTTACATTTGACAAGGCTTCCACACTTAGGAAACTTTCGGAATTTTCATACATTTTTAGGAATCTTCCCATTGTAACCGGATTTAAAACCGAAAAGGTTAACATCATATCAAGCTTATTTTTGTTCCGCCTTACCATTATGTAATTAAATAAAGGATTATATTATTATTATTAGGAATCTTCCGGAAGTTTCCTAAGCATGTAAGCCTCGACATTTTATGTCACAAATTATTGGGGGATGATAAGGGGTGGTGGGGGGTGATTGCATATTGTGAAGTCCATTTATTAAGTTTTTCATCATTTAAACAAAAGATATTAAAGTTCAAATGTTGGTACCACTTCCAGAAACTGTGTAAAACCAGGAAATCGGAAAAGACTTAGCCTAGGCCCTATACAGACATAAGATATGTATGACGGACTCAGTACAACCCATGTTAATTTTTCCAAGTTCTCCTTCCCATCACAATTTGCTCCCATCCATCAAACTAGTTACGTCACTGACTTAATAGAATATTTTCAAATCATTATCAAAAAAGCAATCCAATAAATCCTGCCGAAATTTCCCACAAGAGATTAACAACATGCAATATTAAGTTTCTCAGAAGCAGCACAACACTTTGTGTGGAATCAAAGCGCTGAGCACTTGAGATTTATGGCCAAAAAGAAAAACATTTTATAACTTCATTTTTTTTTTCTCACAAAAGAATAAAATATATACTTTAAATTCAATCATAATTTATGAAAAAGTATCTTGTCTTGTTAGTTCCATTCACATACATATTTTTTGTTTTAGAAAATAAGTCTAAAAACCATAAGGAATTTCATTATCACTAAATTTATCATCATAATCATGATTGAATGATAAATCATTCTGAATATTATCGTCGATATGACATTCGGGTAGAACGACACTGCATTGCTCAACCTCATGCGGACGTGTATTCTCATCACATTGATCCGCAGGTAAAGCCATTTCATTATGGTCAATACATAGAATTGTACGTCTCTTCATTGGCTTATGTTTGTCGCCTGTAAAAAAATTTCAGAAATAAAATTTCAGACACATGTGTAGGATAGATATAAAAAAATTGTTTTTATTACCAATTCTCTGACATGTCACAGAGCACGGTTGCCATGGTCCAATCCACCAGTCAGCAGGACATGATTCATCATTGCACGTACGACTTACAGCTTCCGGTTTTTTATTTTCCGCATTAGACCAACAATGTTTGTCCTCCACAATGCCTTCATACCTTTTGTAGCAAACAGCATGACGATATTGAATGCCACCGCCACATGTCTTCGAGCAGGGTGTAAAGTCGGAAAGTTTCCAGTAGAAAATGTTTTCATCTGTTGAGTTTGATGGTAATGTATATTCGTATTTGATGCCAAGATTCTTTTGTTTTCCCTTGAATATAATCTAGATACGAAGAATATGTGCAATGAGTAAGAATCGGATATTATAGCTTGTGTTTCTAAGAATTCTTGTTCTTTCAAGAACAATACTTACATATATTGCAATGTCTTGCTTTATTGGACCGGGAATTATCATTTTCTCAAGTTCCGCTTCTCTCTCATACAATCCCACAGCGCCAGCAATATTGTACTCTCCAGGTAACTCAATCAATCGATCACCATTCAAGTAGAATTCTTTTGAGTCTGCTTTGCCAATTGCAATAAAATTCTTAGACGGTCCCATTTCTTCAACTGTAATATGACGTGAACCGGATGGAACAAGATGAATTTCATAGTATCCATCAGACACATTGATTTTCTCAATGAATTCACCCTTGACAGTCGTGCATGTACCTCCAGTTCCACCACACATGCCACACTGGTCTTCTGTCGTATTTGAGTCAACAACCCAATCGCAACCGACACGCTGTTTAGAATTTTAAGAATGTCATTAATTCTGTAGGAATTCATAGGAACTTTTCTTAGGAATTCCTAGAAAGTTTTCTGCGATTTCCTAAAAAAAATTCCTTAGGCTTCCTATCATTATGGCCCAAACTTCCTTAGTTTTTAGAAGTAATTCCTAGTATATCTAGGAATTCCTAATTTTTTTAGAAATTCCTAGGAGATATATTTTTTTGTAATAATTGCGATCAGTGTTGCAAATGTAGATGTCTACAATTCTACAACTTCTCTGATGTAGACCTGGAAAAACTGTAGAATTGTAGATATCTACATCGAATCTTTATGTAGACAGAATCTTTATGTAGAAATAATCTTTGCGTAGATTAGATTTTCTATCTTCATATAGAATCGATCTTTATGAAGAAAGTTTCTTAGCTGGACAAAAACTATTGAAGAACCTACATTCTTCATCTAGTGTAGACATCTACATTTGCAACACTGATCGCAATTATTACAAAAAAAAATAAATCTCCTAGGAATTTCTAAAAAAATTAGGAATTCCTAGATTTACTAGGAATTACTTCTAAAAACTAAGGAAGTTTGGGCCATAATGATAGGAAGTCTAAGGAATTTTTTTAGGAAATCGCAGAAAACTTTCTAGGAATTCCTAAAAAAAGTTCCTAGGAATTCCGTCTGCCAGATGACCTAGAAGCGTTGGAAATCAATAAAAAATTTATTATTTACCTTGCAGATTCCAGAGATACACATATCTTTAGTTCCAATTTTACATGACGTCCCGTCTTCAACATTATCGAACGCTTGAATAAATGTATCATCTTTGTCAGTGCAGTACAACTTACATGGCTCGTGAATGTCTAAATAAGGTAGCCACGTAAAGTATCTGTCTTTAATTGGAACGCTGTTTTTCTTTGAACATTGCTGTGCTCGGAAGCTTGGTTCATCATCTGGACATTTACCAATATTGCATGTCTTGTAACGAGCTCTTTCGCCAATACAAAATTCACCTCCAAATGCTGGTGCTGGATGGTCGCATGATCTTGTTTGAATTGAAATTCCAGCACCACACGCTCTTGAACATGGACCCCATTCCGACCAATTTCCCCATCCACCTTCAACTGGAGCTGGAAGATCTTCGATGTCTACACATTTTTGATCTTGGCACCACTGGTTTTATTTTAAAAAGAATTAAAAAGTTTCATAAGACATTTCAAAAAACTTATTGTTTTAATCCAATGAGTGCGAACAAAGAAAATTTCAGTTAATTTTGGTTAATTTCGAAAAATTCAAAAAAAATTCGAAAAAATTCGAAAATATGAAGTTTTGAAAAATAAAAATTCTTTAACGACTTAATTAAGAAACAAATTTATTTCAATTGTTTTTTGATGCAAAGTTGTTTCTTTAATGTATTAATCAACACGGATACTGAAATTTTGCTCTAAATTTAACAAAAGCTTTTAATAGTTTATTAATCGTTTCTTCACAATGTTCAAAAACTACTTCAACTTGGGCAATTACTGTATCAATAAATTGTTGATTAAATGAAGGATCAGAACATGAAATAAGACAATTTAATAGCCTATAAATGAATTCTAGACACATTATAAAGCATTGAACTTCTACTGAAAGTTCCCATGAAGATTCTTTTTTCAAGAAGTAATTTAAATGCAAAATGTAAACAAATAATTGTAACGGAAATTTCAAATTCAAATTTTTTTCCCGCGCTCGAAAATTAGATCCTTCGAAATCAAAAATTAGTTCTTATCTGCACTCATTGGGTTTTAATTTTACCTTATGTTTTCCACATCTCGTTCCAGGTGCTGCCGGTCTTAATAAAGTCGTACAAGTTCCATTTATCATACACCACAGTTGCGAACATATTTCATCTAATTGTGAGCACATTTTAATGTCTTCATCTGTTGTATTAAATTGTAATCTACATTGAAGATCTGCATTGTACATCGCACCTGGTGGTAAGTCAGGATAAGTATATTCTGTCTCCGTCGGTGCATCTTCAAGACATTTTCCTAATCCTTGACTGAATAAAGAAAAATTACATGGAATTATTTTTTGAAGTGTTGAAAAAGAAGAAATTATTATTTTTCTTGATGACACTTAAAAGTCATGGAACGTTTCTATGGGAAATTCATCTTGCATGAATGCATTACTCTGAGTTGGCGGAACGATTCTATGGCATCCATAATTTATTAGTTTGGAGATGGATCCCTTGAGGGTGTTTTTTTCGAATTAATTCTTAGAATAGTGGTTTGTGGATCAGTTAAAATGTTCATCCAAAAATGGAATTTTCAGTACCCACACTCTTATTGACATAAAATCTCAGATACCCCTTAACCCTCTCCTTAAACGATGGACTTTATAACCCGAATGGCACAATTCGGTTAATCAATTAGAAATCCAGTACCAAAACGGTGTGACTCTGACATGGTGCTGGATTTAAATCAGGGGCGTAGCCAGAAAATTTTTAAGGGGGGGCCCATTTTTGAAAATTAAAAAACCGTTATTTTGTGTCCTTAAATCTATATTCATTCTTCATAAGTTTAAATATTTAATTCATTATTCATACATTAAATTTAATTTTTCATGCTGATTTTGACATTTCTTTCATCACTTCCTCTACATTAACTGGTTCTTCTCTATAAATACTTAATAAAACAATTATCAGATTTTCGGAGGGGGGGCCCGGGCCCCCTATGGCCCCTCCTGGCTACGCCCCTGATTTAAATCATAGCATTGTGCTAGAGTCATAACGGTTTGGCGCTAAATTTCTATTCGATTAATCGATTTGCGCTATTCTGTTAAATTAAATCCCCCAGAAATGCACATCAAAAATAATAATTCGGGAAACACTGATAAAATGTTCATCTAAGGACACTCCAGGCAACTTGAAAATTTCATTAAAAAGCACTTACTCTAAAAAGTGTGTTATATCACGACGACTACAGTTCGACCATGAAACTTGAACTGTATCTATCTCAAAACTTGGGGTCATAATATGCAATATTGAACCACTTCGTTTATCGCATCCTGTCTTCAATGTATCGTGGTACATTCCAAAGCTGTAAAATAAATAAATTTTTTATAACCTTACGTCAATTCAGACATAGTAAATCTTTTCATTCACTTCAATATTCATGAATGAATCCCTCAAAATAAATATCAATATAAACATCATGTGTTTCTACAAAACAACTCACTTATGTCCCAACTCATGTGTTATTGTGTGCGCCAATGTAATTCCATTATCTTCATTTACTGAACATGATCTATCAGCACGACACATTCCAGCGACATTTGCAACGCCTGTTGAAACGGATAAAAGATGAATAAGAAATTAAACATGAGATTATGCGATGTGCATATTTAAAATGAATTTATGGGATATAATGATGATGTCATTTTTTTATGCTGAATGCATAAACTTTATTGTTTATAGATTGACAATCATGCGTCAAATTTATATCAAATATAATATATCCTTACCGAGAGTTGAGCACCCAGACGCAGCACAAAGATCTTTTCTCGTTACCAAAATAGCAACATCGTGATGATGAGGATCTTCATCCTGCTTTGGATTCAATGTTCGTTGCCATCTGTAAAAGATTAGTTTCAATAAGATATTTTTAAAATGTTGATATATTAAGACACACCAGATGCATTATAAATTATTTATATTCACAAAAAAAAATAAGAGAACAATTTTTCTTACCTGCAGAAGCTATCCAAAGTCGTTTGCGCGACATGGGTTACATTTAAATCTTGATATGATTCTTCTTCATCGAGTAATATAATCTTGACAACTACAACTTGAATTGAATTACCAATTGTGGGATCTTTGTATAAAGCTGACACCATATTCATAATTGTGAGTAAGTATGCCTCAACATCGACATCGCTACCTTCATGGAATTGCACCATCGTTTGGTCAGCAACGACTAACGCCTCAACATGACGCGGTGTTACGACAGAACGAGTGTGTCGTTTCTTGGAATTTTTTTGGTGATTTTTATTCCGCTGTTGATGCTGGTTGTGATGATTTCTAACTTTTCGACCACCTTGAACGATAACCTAGTAATAAAACTCTTTGGAAATTCGTCTTATTTATTTAATTGATGGTTTCTTATTAATCACTAAAAATTTCATCGAATTTCTTACCTTTCCTTGCGGTTGCCACTCAATCTTTGTCTCAGTCGATCGTCTTGGCTCTCTAGTTCCACAATTACTGGAATGATGGCGCTTCTTTCTCTTTCGACGCTTCTTTTGTGCACCTTTCTTCTCAACTTCATTATTATTGTGGTTTTTTACTGCCGAACGATGAAATATGACATGTGGATGTCCATTCTCACTGATTTTATGATTCTTTGATGGCTCGATGAGATATTCATTTTTATTGGTGCGAATAAAGCCACTCTGATTTGATTAATAAGACGATATACGGGTAATAAAAGAATATGAATAAGTTAGATGATTTTAATATTTTTGAGGTAGGGTTTAGTAATTTGGAGCGCAATTTTGATCAATTTGTGAATGAATTTTTTAAAGTTGTGGTATAAAATCCTTAAAAAAAGCTTAGACAGTTCAGACATGACTCAGATTCAGAAATTTGGAATTATTTAATTCTTATAAAGCTAATAATTTTGCACAAAGTCCGAATAAGCACTAAATTCAGACTGTGGTGGCTCCACGACAATGTTATTCGTCAGAAGGCTCAGCAAACGATTTTTAGAGCTTCTCGCAATTTTATGCTCTATTAACAAACGAAATTCCAAATACCAAGCTCTTGGATACCAACAATTCTTTACTTTAGCTCTTTAACCTAGTTCCCAACTCTAACCATCATCCATCCGACAAACTGCAAAAGTCACAATCATCTTAATCCTCAAAATTTCCCATACTATTTATACAAGACTAATTGAAAGAAGACAAATCTTTTTTATTTCACTTTCGTGAATGATGTAAAATGCAAATTAATGTCTGATGAGTTTGAATCATTTAAAATCAAATATAAGCGATTGAAGTGTGATAAGTAAGATAGTGGCAAAAATAAATATTTGCTGACTGAATTTTACTCGGTGAATTTTTGGTTTCCTGAATGTTTGACTTTTCGTATATTTTTAAAACTGTTGGCTCAGAAATTGTTTGACTAATTAAATATTTTACACAGTGAAGTGTGTATTCTAGTAGATTTGTAGAATAAATTGAGGATGTTTGGCTTGAGTAATTGAACAAACTTTGATAGTTTTTGATGAATCTTTAAGTAGAGTTGACAATTGTTGGATTACATTTGACAAATGCTTGAAGTTTGTCAACGAATTGCATATTTAAAGCTCAGATGTACCCAAAATCTACTCAAAATAAAAGCTTTAATAATGTCAAACCAAAGTCCTTTAAGGTCATCAAACCAAATTCCTTAAAAAGGAATTCCTTCCCTTAATCTCATCCCATTAAATTTAACTCACATTTAGTCAGTCAATTCAACCTTCGCCAAAGGGTTTACCATTACAAATTATCAACATCATTTCATTCCATAATTAATGAACCACAATTTTTTTAATCACCAACTTTTTATATTCCTCAACAACACGAGCTTCACAGCAGAGCGACAATTCGCCAGAAGAAAAAGGTCTTAAGACAAAATTGAATGAAGCAACACGCTTGTGACAAAAACTTTATCAATTAAAAGAAGATTTAAACATTTGAGATAAAATTTCTTTTGCTGATGGACTAAGCAGCTTATTATTATTATTATTTGTTGAGTCTTCTTTCACGATGGCGCCACCTCGCATAACGTCAAGGTGAATTTAATAATTAAAGAAGAGGAGATTTGGATTTTTTTTTATAGATTCCCACACATCGTAAAGTTATCACACGAGGTTTTTTGGGGGAGAATTAACGATAAAACAAAATGATTGAAAATAATGATGATCATTCTACAGAGTGGAAGCTTTGGTAAGGCATCAGGTATTTACAGTGAATACTGCAGCTAAAACTAAGCTGGTTCCAAGCTTGTGCTAAGCTAGTGTTAAGCTAGTGCTAAGCAAGTGTTAAGCAAGTGCTAAGCTAGTGCTAAGCTAGTGCTAAGCTAGTGCTAAGCTATTGCTAAGCTAGTGCTAAGCTAATGCTAAGCTAGTGCTAAGCAAGTGCCTGAAACCTGAAGGCAATTTCAGAAAGCAGGGGACTTTTCAATAATATTTTTAAAATTCTTAGCAAATTAAATGATTTCGTCGAAAGCTGAGGTCCTCCTCTGAGTTCACACCTGAAGCTATACAAACAAGACCCCTATATCCATCAAAATCCATCTAAATATTCAACAATATCCATCTATATATTCAACAAATCATCTTCAAATTCACAAGAAAACCGAACCAAAAGAAATGAGACGACTAACGACTGAATAATTAATTAGATAATTTGCTTAGCAATAAAATACTAAATTTTATAGCTAATCAATGAAAAGAGGATTAGAAAGACATTACAAGTTGGAATATGCTTATAATTTTTCCTTACCAATCCGTTACAGGCTGATATGGCAACATGTGAATTTTCATGACCACGAACTTTTCCTTGATAATGGCACTGTGTTTGTCTTTGTGGACGTTTATGTTGTGTTCTTAAGTCTCTCTTATGACGCTCGACGACCATAAGTGGCGCGACAAATCTTGTCGAAGGTCTGAATTATGAGATTTTTGAACATATTAAACATGATTAATTGAGGATTTCAATCAGTCGTGTTGACTAGACTCACTCTAATTCTAAATGTAAAGTTTCATTATGAATATCAATATGATAATGCACAGCATGGTCATCAGGCTCCCCTGTGCTGTCGTTATAATGATTGTGTTCATGATGATGCCTCAAATCGTGTGATAAATGATCACCAAAGCTATTTACTTTTCTTGGAACTGTGAGATGCGCATCGCTTAATTTGTTTGAATAAAATCCTTTGAGAACAGAAGAAGAGATTAAAAAACAGAAAAAAATTAGAAACAAACAAAAGAATTAAAATGGATTAAAATGAATGAATAATTTTTCGATAGTTATTTCCGTTCGAAGAATCAAGGCACGGACATGGCTTAAAATATTTATTTTTTATTGATTTCAAATCCTAATTCAGTAAAGAGCCTTAAACTTTCAGACACACTAATTCTATGCTCTAGAACATTTGTAACCTCGTGTGAAGCTAATGGTGCAGGAATGTGGGGTCAGAAAGCTTCGAATCCTCTAGCAATGTAAAAGGAGCTATTTTCTCATCCATGAGACCTCCAAACTCAAATTTAAGCACCACTACCTCAAAAATATTTTTAATATAATCATAAAAATATTAATAGATGCCTCGATTCATTCATTAAGAAGTATTTTTGGGGTTAATAAAGATAAAATTCATTGTAAAATTATACATCAAGCTTTGTATCTGTAACACATCACATTTGTTGTTTATGTTTTTATCCCAAAAAAATGCCTCAACTACTTAACGATGAAGCTAATGCCATATTATGAATTATTTATGATGATGACATTATTCAAATGCGGCTCTTTTTTCCTCCTCATCTCAAAATTTATTGTCTACTAATTATTTATGGCAATGTTTGTATCATAGAATCATAGCTGCTTCATGAAGCTGTAAATTATATTTTTTTTTCTCGCTGTTTATTTTTCATTCATTCAAATAAATGTGAGGTAAATTGCATTACAATTATTGAAATAGCAGGAAAATATTTAAATTATTTTTCAGGCGTGTTTGACAAAAAAGAAATAATTTTTAATGAATTTATTAAAATGAATTAGTTTAAGTGACTTTTATGAGTGTTAATGTTGTTTGAAATGTAAATGTAATGAAATGTAAATGTTTTTCTGTAGATTAAAATCGGAACAGACTTGTGCAATGTCATTGCAATTATTTATGAGATTAGTAAGTGACAGTTTTTAGATAAAAAATGGGGATTTATAGAATATTGAAAAATATAGAACATTGGTTTTAAATTGTAATATTTATTTTATGGCAAGGAGTCTCCAGCATATGCAAATTGTCATTTTAATAGTTTATAGTGACTCAGATTCGTTGATTTTGTGTACAATTTAAGAGTCATTCATTAAAAATGTACAACTTGAAGGATGTGATCTGAAGCTATTTGAGATATGGATAAGGGGGGGGGGGGGGGGGGGGGCTCTCAAAAACCGAAATGTGTTGTGCCCGATTTGATGGAAATGGCGTAAGATTTTATTTTTTGGTGCTATTTCACCTTAGAGAGGAAGGTCTTTCCGATATTTCATAGCCCATATCAAACCTCGTAGTAAACCCCTAAGTAAAGTGAAAACAGAAGAATTGTGAAGATAAAAGATTAAAAAATTATATTCTCAAATTGACAACATGGAACTACTAAACCCCTTACTAATTAACATTAAATTACATTAAAACAATATTCAATTAATTAAATCATTTCAAATGAAACTCAATGCCTCATAAAAACTGGAAATTAATTATAAAAATTACAAATGTTCATCATTTCCTGATTAGATTATCAAATGACAAGAATATTCAAGAACTCACCTTTATGCTCCACAAGTGCTTTTGTCGTAGATGCACAAAGAATAAATTTAATTACACAAATTGTTATTAACAACATTTTCTCACTATTTTCTGTTTAATTTTATGTCTCAAAATTGTTTCACAAAAAGTTAATTAAACTCTCGTTCTAGTTCAAAAGTTTCATTCGTTTTATTTTACTTAATTTAATTTTCACAACATATTTGTAGTGTTACCCATTTTCAATTATTTTATGCATTTTGAACATCACTATTCTGCTGGTGTGTCTCTAATGAAATCTTTCTTCTATGATTGCGAAAAAAAAATATTAGAGAAAAGAAAAATTTAAAGAATGTCGGCTGCTGGATGTTTTCTGCGAATTGAGCACTTAAAAAATTATTAGAATAAATTAACGCGAATCTTTAAAGAAGTGAAGTCTTTTTTTTTGTGAATGAAAATTAATTAAAAACTTTTCGACACCAAATATGAATTGAAATTCTAGACTCGATTAGACCGTGACTAAGCAAATGTTTTTATTATTTTTGAATTTTATGGATTTGTTTGTGAATATTGTATATTGATTATTTGAAATGTTTTACTTTACATATTATTAAGGAATATTTATATTTGTTATCTCATAGAAATTCATGATTCATATGGAATGTGAGACAATTTATTTGTTTTGTGATTCAGAGCTAGACAGGCTTAATTATCTGATTGAAAAATATTTCCGAATGGAAAGCAGATTTTTATATCCATTTAATTCGTAGATTTTAGATAATTTGCATATTCGCAGGAAATTGTGTGGTGATTGCTGTATGATCTGGATCATAATCCGTAATTAGTGAGCTTAAGTTGATTGATGACGTCAAGGCTGGTGCAAAACTCAATGTTGAATTAAAGATTCTTAAGTCACGTATCGAATATCGAATAAAATTATCTTATAGCTCAACATTACAGTGTAGGGCATAAAAAGGTGGAGTCAGTAGTCTGTTTTTTGGGGAAGCAGCAACCCCCCCCCCTCTCCTCCAAAACACCCAATGTTGCTTTCATAACAATTGGTTGGTTGTAAACCTCACCATCCCTAGCCAGAATGTGGGGCTGGCACACTATAGGCAAGGCTGTTTTAAGAAGCTTTGATTCTATCATTTAAAGTATTAATTCACTTGACATTTGGTCAGCCCAATAAACACTAGAAATTTCTTATTTTTTTAAATTACCCCAAAGCATCCTCCACCTCCCACTTTGCAAAATATTTCTATATAAAAAAATAAAAATCCTCAGTCTATTAACATTGACTTCACTGCTTAGCAACATTTGAATTTAGGAAGTTTTCAACCCAACTTTGATCTTTTTGAGCATTATAAACCTTACAAAGACAATCCTACTATTTTAAAGTGAATAAATCAACTTGTAATACGAAAAAATTGGCCCTGATCATAAAATCAATTTAAGTAAAAATGTCGCAGTATATCAGACTCTATCATCATATCTATAAATAAATATATATACTTAATTTTCACACGTTTAACAAGAGTTATTAAGTCCGCGAAAAAAAAAATCTCGCAGGTTGTTCCAAATTAGCACCAATTTTATGAAGTTTTTTTTTTATGGCAAGAATGACACGACGAAATGGTAGCTGTTATCGATTAATATTTTACAGCCATACACTATCTTGTTTTTGTTCTTTTCGAAAAAAAAATAAATAATATTTCATATTTCATGCGATAATAAAAGAAACGTGCTAACGACCAGGTTGTTCTAATCATTCTTCTTATGTCCATTGTGTTATTTGCCGACCCGTTGACTATTATAAAGTAGTGAATGAAAAATTGTCAAATAAGACGAAGAACCTCTTTCTTGAAAGATTAACAAAAAAAGAGAGAATAAACGACTCACAAAGAAGAAGACGATCGACAGTCACAGATAGTAAGATGGTAGCGAATGAATTTAAATTAAATATTAATCCTGTAGTTTTTTAATGTCATACAATTAAATGTCACATATTACGAGTGAGTCTCATATCTTTAGCAAATTTTTTTTTCACTCAAGTGGCGCCAACATCTCAACTCTCAAAATATATATGAGCATGTATGCTTAAAAAAACTTTTGTTGTTGAATAAATTTGCGAAAGGATAATATTTTATCATAAACAGGGATTGAAATTTAAATTGCGGTTCTTATGAACTTGATTGTTATAATCTCTTTAGCGGAATTCTTTTTGTTGGTAGAATAAATGTGAATTTAAGAGGTTCATGTCTTGAATGATAAGCTTTTTAAATTGCAAATTTATGCCGGGGGTATTGGCACATCTATCAGAATGTGACTTATTAGTGAATTTATTGGGAAACTATTAAAAGCTGTGAATAATGTTAAAGCAACAAAGATTTTTGTCCCTGCCTTAAAAGTTGCAAAAAGCCTGTTCTTAATAAATATCTCACTTAACTGCATGATCTAAATAAAGAATAATCAAAACAAAAATATGAAAAATGAAACGCTTATTCATTAACGGATTTTTTAAGATATCCACAGACATCCTGAAAGTTATATTTAATAAACAAGAACTTAAAAATAAATTTTGCATATTTTTCTCTTAAAGATTTTAATCTCTTTTAGGCTCCTCCTCAGTATCTCCAGCGATGTAAAATTTGTCTTACAGTGACTGCTCTATGACTTGATCTTGATTCAGTAGTCAATATAGAATATCTAGAATTATGCTTGGATTTTTGGGGTAGCTAATGATATTTTCACGAGTGATGGATGGATTCAAAACCTAGAAACTACAGACTATATTGGGATTTAAACTAGGGTTTGAATATATCATTGACCAAAATCTTTAAACGGAGACTGTGAGCAGTATTTTCAGGACATATGACCAAGTCTTGGACCCATGATCACTATGTCGATATGGCAATGAACTAAACCATTCGATCATCAAGCTACTTCATCTTGATCCAGTCTTTTCTAAACTTTTTTGTTTCTTAGAGATTTTCTCCATTAAAATATTTCAAACTTTAAAAATTCCGCTTATTGTGGCTCAATAAATAATTTTATAATTATCAAAATTATTTCTAGAATATTTCAAGAATTTTGGTTTTTTTGCTCGAAAGGAATCCTGTTGCATTAGGAAGATAACACCTCAATCTACGATCAATTTTAAACCAAGCAATCGCTATTAAAATTATACTAATTTGTGCTTATAATATGCAAACTATATCAAGTAAATTAATTAGAATAACGATCTTATGTCTATTTATAGCTTATCTTAAAAACTTTTTTTTTTCGATAGAATCTTCAAGTTTTCAACAACTTCCGATTATGATAATTAAGAATAGCAAATCTGTCACGATTTATCGTTATTGTTTTTACTGATGCTCCTTCTTAACAGTATAATGCTTATTTGGCATCATAAAATAAATATTAATAACTTATAATGATGATAATATACGCATTATATAGAAGCTTATAAGAGACTTGAAAGAGATAAAAATCTCATCAATACGCAGATTTTTACCTAATTTGACATAATTTTAAAATATATTTCAATGCGACGCCGAAAGGCAACACTTTAATCGATCCGGTGTTTAGAAACTGATTTTTTATTGATATTAATTTGCTATGTTAGTAACAGGATTTGACTTTTTTGATGAGACTGGACGGGAAAGTGGTGAGAGTATCTGGATGGCATCATAGTTGCGCCAAAGTTATTAATTTTTCTAGGTTAGGGGGTTTACATTGAGCACTAGTAGACATAAAATTATGGCCTATTAACAAAGAATCCGACATCTCAACGTTCTGGCTAAACCATTGAGCTATTAGAGCTGAATAAGTTGTTTTCCGAATCATACTATAAATTCCAAATAGATGCATATCCAAAATCTATGACAATCTTAAATAAATATCCAAACGGATGCCAGTAATGATGTCATCATCAACATATTGCTAATTTTTATTCACAAGATTGTAAGACAAACTAGATAATTGATTAAAATACAAAAGAGCCATCATCTACATATTATGCTAATTTATCGATTCATATTTAGAATGTATAAATTATCGATTAACATAACGATAAATAAAATTCCAGCGAATTAATGATGAAGGCACATATAAACAGTGATTGTGAAGCCCACACACATGTAATACATATGTGCGTAAATTTTTGATGAATGAATGAGAAAGCGCAACAAGCAGAGAAATTATTTAAATTAAAGGCTGATTTTTCATGTTGTTACAACTTTGTTCTGGAAACTGAAATGTTGTGAATGAAAAATTGTTGAAAGGAGGGTTAACAGAAGCATTAAGCTGATTTTTAAAGTAGATTTGGGGGTTTTGGAGCTGATAGCTTGGAAAGTAACTCCCGATAATCCACAAGTTTTTCGACATCTAAGGTTGAGAATCAAATTGACCAATTACCACAATTTTTAAACAATCCACAGAACCCCTAACCCAACATCCACCAAATAATCTAAAATAGCAAAAGCTTAATTTTTCAATAGCCGCATTAACTTGTTCTCTTTGTGTCTGACCATTTTTGTCGGCTGATTCTTTTCTCTTTCTGCTGCTGCTTACTTTGTTTTCTTCTTATTATCCCATACTGACTATTGTAGTCAGTCATAAATATTAATCACATATAAATGAAAAATCAGGTTCAACAATAGCTGAAACAACTTCAATCTGATTGTTATTGGCTTACGCTTTGTGTATATTTCACTCTGACTTCTTATAAGACTTCATATGGACATTTATTATGATTGCTTCTAATTGAGTTGTTAGTTGTCTGATTTTGTATTCCTTCTCTTCTCTTCTATTTTGCAAAATTTAATTTTAAATGACAAGAGAGCAATAAAAAAGAGCAAATTTCTTTCGCCGTATATAGACGCTGTTAAATGTGGGACGTTCTTAGTTTCTTCTCTTCACCTTTTGTTGCTGTTTTTGTTCTCGTTTTAGACTTTTTTTGATTAATTAAGTGGAAGAGATTTTTAAATATTTTTAATGAGAAATTGAGATGGATTTGCATTATTTTTGGCTTAAGCCTAACGGTGCTCAAATGATGATGTAATTCGTTTGGGAGATCATTTACAAATACAATTGTTGATAGTTACTTTGTTGCTGAAACAAATTTATGTGCGAAAATAAGAAGCTCATGAATATGGATGTGATTTTGGTGGGTAGGATGTAATTTTTGAGCTGATGTCAGTTTAGATTGAAGATAAAATATGAGTTGTGGACTTGAAAGTTTCGTGTGGTTTGAGAACCTTTTGTAAGATTTTGCAATTTAGAAGTTTTAATACAAACTTAACAAT